GGGTTTGCTTTGCTTTGAAGCTTTAGCTTTATTTGAGAATCTTGTGTTTGAGCCTTGTTTTTTAAGTCCACCATGCACTGTTTCTCCCCCTGATTCCACCAACTTCATCTATTGACGATTAGCCCTTGTTGTCTATATTGGTCTTCGGCCGTGTACGTGCAGTGACTTGATGGTCCCTCCGAAAGTCCAGGAGAAGTATTAAAAAAGAAAAAACATGAGGTAACACAATGAACGAATGATAATAAAGGGGATAAAAAGGATGAGGAGGAGATTTGTGCTGCTGCAGCAACTCTCCAAATCTTTGGGCTAGTTACCTTTTTTACCCCGGTAAAATGTTGGGGTAGGCTATTTACGTGTGGATACGTTCTTAATCTTGGGCTGGAGGAGAGGAAAAGATGTTTCATTTTATGTTATTGTTGGTGAATGTTATTTGTGAAGTTGGTGGAGTTTTATGTACTGACTCTGCTTTCCTATCTTGCATCCTTCTTACGGGGTGGATCTCGCTCCCCTCAAAAAAACAAATGGAAGATGAGAAAAGGTGAAGTTGAAGTTCATAATAAAAAATGGTTTCCCATTATCCCCTGTTTTTCAGTCAGTCTTTGTTCCTTTGACTTTATTTGTATTTATATGTATAGCTACTTTGGCCCCCAATCAGAATCTGAGGTGTTTCCTGCATGAGTATATGTCGTTTGTATATTAAAAAGCAAAGTTTTTTTTCTAGCTGCACCTGATTCCCTTTACTTACTTTTTTTAGCATACTAAACTTTATATAGAGTGACAAACGCAGTGAGCTAATTTCGTGGATGCGTATATTTCAGGAAATATGTAAATGTTTCTGCTACCACTTTACGAAGGGAATCCTTTGAAGCAGAGCAGACAGCAGGGAAATAGAAATAAGTCTCATTTCCTCCGTGTCCCATTCTTTCTCAACCCATCACGGTCTTTATATATCGAGATCGAAGGGTTTAAAAGTACGTACACACAACTTGATACAACGTATAATACTTTTTTTAGCTACATGACTGCCTAGCCTGGTAACAGACTTTCAGTTTCCGTTGTTCTTCTTCAAACCACGTAAAACCGCAAGACGCAATGGGCAACTGAATCTGACATGCTGCTGTTGTTGTGTTGTTTTCTCTTTCAAACATAAGATGACAGATGGTAACTAACTCAACTCGTCTGTTCGGTCAAATCTTAACCAACTTTGCCGTGTTTTCATTTAAAAAAGAGATTCATAAAGAAATAGAGTAAAACTGGTGGTTGGACACTATTGTCAAGTCGATGGTGGAAAAAATATAGAAATAATAGATTTGGATCTGGAATTGTACCCATGTGTGCGTCTCCTCGCTTGATTCAATGCAGAAAATCCTCCTCCTTCTGTCGTCGTGCATTTCACTATTGATGCCTGGAACTTTTTTTCTCACTCGGATGATTCCTTTTCAGAAAGCGATTACATTGCCGTTTTCTTTCCATGTTTTTTTGCACAGCTAGAGTATCATTTTTGCTCATGTACACTTTTGCATTACTGCACTTTGTGTGTACATATCTGAGTGCTGGGCATTTGAAAGTTTTTACATTGTCATTTCCACTTTTGTTGGTTGGTTGGTTGAGATTTTGCTGGTTGAGATTCGTTGTGTGTTGTTTTTGTGTCATGTTATTTGTTCTCGTCGTCGTCCCGGATTGGCAAGAAGCGTTGTTCGGGCAGCATTTCCAGAAACATACATACGAATTTGTGTACCTATGTATGTGTACATATCCACATACAAATATCTGAGTATGTAGGTTTATGTGGTTACTCCCCTTATTCGCCATGAAAGAAAGGCTTGATTCAATTTTGCTCAGAGAGCTACTTGAATTCTGTATTTTTCAGTCACTCTCTCTCTCTGCCTGGCACACCGACGGCACAACATTGGTGCAAATTACTCCGGCTTTGACTCTTTTCCAATTCCTTTCCATAAATGAAAAAGATGTGCAAATAAAGTTTACAGTAAAAGAAAAGAGGAATGAGATAAAGCTGCAAACAAAAGAGTTTGGCATGGCACGACGGTTTTTTGTCCTTCAGGTGTAAACTGATAAGTCAGGTTTTTGTCAAGGAAAATATTCAATTACCTTTCGCAACAAAGAGGAGAATGCAAATCATACATTTATTATTTTTGCTATACAATTTCGATCTGAGCAGAAACAAACAAAAAGTTATCTATTGCGCACCATACATACTTGGGATACGTACACGCGTTATTTTCTACATTTTAAAATTTTATTTTCTTGTAATATTGTGGTGACCTACCTACGCAAATATTTAGTCGCATGAATTGTACATAGTTGCAGATATTTATTCTACATTGGTGTGAAATTTATTAAGAAGCGTTAAAGCTTGCCAATACAATTTTTAGACGAAACCAAACCACAAGTCAACACACTTATCTAGAGAATAGGTTTCAGATAATTTGAGTTTTGGGTTGATTTGGGCGAAGCAAGTGAAACGACGGCGTCCAACAGTGAGGTTGAAGTGACGGAATCTCCAGCAGAGTGGGCAGATCTCTAGCCTTATTTTGTGATATTCTTTCTAAAAAGTGCACTCTTCTTAACTTGAGATACGATTCCCCAACATTTGTCGTTAATGTCATTAAATACCATTCACAGTTTTATTTTTTACGACTTTTGTCAGCGCACTCGTTCTCTCGCCCACTAAGTCATTTTCACCTTTCTTGTCATATCCTGTTGTTGCGTATTCTCCTTGGTCATATGAGCATTATAGCGGAACCAGGTAAAAATTTACAGATGTGATGCACCAAATTCAACTGATCCAGTAATTTTATAATTTCCACCCCAATTTCAGAATTAACGGTTTTTAGCCGAGTACAAAAGACATCATTCATTCACATCAAAATTGTAAATTAGTTTTGAAAGCATAGTTGAGCTGCTAATAAGAATCACACCCCTGAAGGTAAATACACGAGTGGATGATGATGGTGGTGCCAAGTAACGCTGTCCCTCTCCACAGGCACCGAGGGGAAAGATAAAAAGGGTCTCAAGAAACGGGAGCAGTTTGCTTGTTGACCACCTCCGTGCGCTGACAAGCGAATCAAATCTTTAATATAACGCTTCGAACAAGGAGCTGAGACCTTTTAAAATTCCAGAGTTTTGCTTCTGGACAATTTTTTAGACAGCTTTAATAACCCGACTTTACTGACAGCTTATATCAAATCAATTGTAAAATGCGATGTACAAAAAAATTGATACAAGGGACGAAAAAATCACAAGATATCAAGTCTTTGCATCGCTTTTTTACCCCTTTGTGCAGTCATGTCTGAGGAATGTATTACAAATTCTTGACACTCGTATTTCATACTTTAAGTTTGCTGCCCTTACTTCGTGTCAAGGTATTTTTATGTAAGACTTGATACCTTCAAATGATAGGATTAGAGCCTAATTGTACACAAAACTGGTTTGAATTTAACCAAGATTATACCAAACGGATGGCAAGAGACGGTGTAAAACGTGTTGGAATGAACTTTGGTCTTATTCCCAAGAAGAGATTAGATTGCCGGATTTTTTAAACGTTTCGAAATGATATTATTATTATTATTATAAACCTTTTTACGAGTCTTGGGTGGAATTGTTTGGATTTCGTATAAAAAGACAGGAAATGTTCATGAGATTAGGAACTCACATTCCACGTAAAATTATGTTGACATGTGTCAAATTGTCATCGTTTACTTTTACTTTAAAATTCTGATGCCAGATAATTCTGATCATGTATATATTTAAAAAAACTTATCGCCTTACGTGTATCCTATTTATGAATTATCTGTACAGTGAAACAACGAAAACTGTAATGAACTGAGAATGGAAAGGTTCTCGCATGCAATTCTGTCATTCTTTCGTCACTACAAAGTTTCAGTCAAAGTTTTTATTCGGATTTTTAGAATGTCACATGAATCTGTAAACTTATTTTTGAACAACTAAGAAATACTAAATTAAAATGTCATTTGGTGAGTCGACATTTTCCACTGACGAATTAACTTACTCTTTTCTAATCCTGACTGAGACACATTGAGTTCATACACATATCCATCTACTTCCACAGAAAGAAGGGCCTCCCTTTTTGTAATGGAACTGAAATATAGTTTAGTAGAATCATTCGACTTAACGGCAACAGCAGAATTTTAGTTCCTTCAAGAAAACTGATACGGTGACTGATTTCTAATACTAATTTGCGAAACACGAACTTGACGCTTACTCGGAGAAGGTTGGATATAACATCAAAACCATAACGCACGAATTGATTTTCTTTCTGGTAATCGCTTCATCCGACGGTGGATTTCTTTTGATTTTAATCAGTCACTCATAGCAAATTTCTTTTTACCATTAGTGCATTTCCCATTATTAACTATCCTGAGATGTCCCTCGCCCTCGGATAATGCTTACGTACATATTTTCTTGCGAGGTATTTCTTCATGACCAAGGTAGTCATACGTACCTACTTCAAGGCAGAATATTGGAGGGTGGAAACTCTGTTTGAAAATACTAACAAAGGTTGTATTGTGTATTGTCCAGCAAAACAGGACAAACTTTTTTGGTTTGGATTTTGTATACACAGTTTGAGGATTGGGGAGGGTCTGTAGTTAATAAGTTAATGTGATTCGATGGAACAGCTTCACAATAATAATGAGGATGACTTGACTTTTATTAAAAAAGTTTGATCATTTTCTCCGCTATCTGGATACTTCGACATGTGTTTGTCTGGCGCAAAAGTTTTTTTTGTCTCTTTATTGTCGTGTTTAATATATTTTTTGTGAATTGTGTCCTATTTTAATTTTAATGAGAATATTTGTTTGTTTGTTCTGCTGTCCTTTGAGATGGCTGGGGTTGAAGACCAAACTCTCCGAACCGTCCAACCATTCATCCATCCCCATAATTTTTAATAGACTGCAGTTGTTGAATTCATGTTATGATGGTTCGTGTTTTATAATGCAATGTTAATTTATCATTTTCAGGACTCCTGTTGAGCGGCATGGTTAGTGGGGATGACATGAGAGATGTATCCGAAGGGGACGATGTCGTGTTGGAGTGTCGCTTTGGCCCCCATTTGAGGTATGTCTAATTTTAAACCTATACATGCATGAAAGTGGACTTGAGAAATGCATTCAAGTTTTAAGAAACTCTACTAATGTATTTCAAATAACGAATTTACCTTGCAGCACCCGTGGTCCAACTGTGTATTGGACGAGGACGAACAACCGAGACAAAGACAATGTTGCTATTGAAGGAACGCCATTGGAACAGAATTACGAGTAAGTTGATGCATGATTTAACCTCTGCCACTTGTTGTACGAAACAACAATTAGAAGAATATCATCCTCAAGCTGATCAGATTGGTAGATTTTTTTGTCATTTGATATGAACTGCAGGGGGAAGCATAATCAGTTGACACTTGTATGAACTCCCCTCGTCTACAAGTTTTGCATTTAAAAAACTCAGTTTGATCACGATGCATACATATTTTAATTCATGACTCAATGAAGATTTACTTCTTTTGTGTCCAATCACCACCAACACGACGTATTTTGCTTTCAAAAAAGAAGATTTTGTTTTGGATTATGCAATCTTGGATTTTAAGACGATGATAAACAGATTGCCATTTTGGGCAAATGAATAAATATTTTTGTTTAATCAGCATAATGTAAATTCGAATTTACCAAACAATTCGTTCCAGAACGGCAGATTAAAATTTTAATAAAAACTGACAAAAAGGGGCAAACGTAATCTTCTCTGGTGGTTTGACGGACAAAAGGCTGGATGGGATTTTGCTGAATGGATGATTGGCGTGCTGGGCACGTTTCCTTGTTGGTTGGTTGGCTAAGGATGAGCGAGAGTGCAGTGGGTTTTAATTACAATTAACTATCATTTCTTATTGCATCTTTTACCCCTCGTTTTGATTAGATAAGATTAGATCTGGTCTTGGTCACATTATTTATTTATCGTCGATCGTTTTTGGTCCTGGTGTCAGCATCATGTTAATTGACTGGTTCGTACACGAAGAAGGACCGGATGCGTAGAGATTGAATGGTCAGCAAATGAAGACTTTTGATGGGAACGAATGAAGAATGAAAAAATAGACATGCTGCCACATTGGGATTCAGCAGCAGGAGGATGATTGTTGATTTTTGATGGGATGTTGGATTATCAAATAGATTTGGATACCATCTCACAACGTTTGCCTTGTCTTTCTTGGCATCATTATGCATGTACATACGTCTAACCTGCATTGATCTACACAAATGATTTGATGAGACGAATTCGAAATTTTGTATAAGATTGTTCGCATTGAGGGTGGCGTTGTGTTTTTTTATCATTTCACAAGAAGACGCCTATCCTCGTCTTGTTGAGGGCGAGTACATGTTTAGCTGAAGCAGTTGTTCAGAGCCCCTGTTGGGTGTGCCCCATTGTTTATTCTAATGCAAACAGACGGACGGATGGAGAATAGGGTGCGTGGTCCTGGGGTCGTCGTCAAGTAGTTGAGAGTGTAATTACATATACTGCTAAGCTAAGAACTTGTAAATTGTGTGGACATTGGGTGGAGCCTCTTTCTATTTTTCACTACAAATATGCTATAAAGTATTTTCCTTTTCTATTATTTGAGTCAAGATTGAGGTTGTTATTTGTGGGTGTGAATATTTGCCCTGTTGTTGAATAAACTTTTCATTTTTTTCCCGTAAGCGATAAATAATAAATACATATGTGAGTGAAGTTGTCACTTTATTTTGTAAATTTTATAATTCAGAAGTTCGATATTTACTTAACATTGATCCACCAGGAATACGAAAAAGTGTTTCCAATAAATATGCTATTAAAAATGCACACAATGGTCATAAAAAATCCTTCTGTTAATGATGGATGATGTTTCGCCCTCAGAAAGGAGAGTTGGTTACATTTGCTGAATTTTAATTGTGGCGAATGCCCAAGTTGAATTTCCTCATGGCATGGAGAAAATGCATAAAGAATTGAAAATGGAAGTTGATCATCGTAGGAAGGGGTTCGTATCTCGCTAACGTAAGCCTGGGGCTACACACTTGGTTATTGTAGCGTTTTGACAGTGATGCTGCCTTCTTGCTGGACTTGATTTGCATAAAAATTTGTTACCAATCGACAGATTTGGTGTGGTTGAATTGATAAAAATAATTGATTTTATGGTTTTATGGAGGCAGGATAAACTTTTACGAGGGTTCAATTATCTTGAGCTCCTAGACATTAGCCGAGCATATTTTCTTGTACCTTTGTTGTTTCTGGTTTTTTTGACAAGCGGAGCGAGCGATCAGAGATTTGCAAGGAGTTGAGATCGACGTGGAGTTTATTGGCATATCGCTACTTGGACTTTTACAACAAAAAATTATGTTGTATTAAAATAAACCGGATTGAATTATTCCAATCCTTACGGTTTTACAGCTGCTGTTTGATTATGAGGAAGGGATTCTCTTTTTCTTCGTACACTTGCATTGATGCCAGTGATTTGATATTAATTTAAAAAATAACCCATATTTATTTAGCCCAACGATTTAACCTCATTTATTTCAAGTTCATTAGAGACGGATTAAATATTGCTCACTCCTCAGTCCTAACTATAATCACAAGGTTTTGTTTTCAGAAAGTTGAGGGTTATAGCTGACCTATTCCAATAAGTTCAATGAATCTTCTTCAAAACCAAATGATCATTATTTCTAAAAATTCCATATTTTTTCACACAGAATCGATTATGTACCGACCGCTGGGAAATACGACTTGAAGGTAAGTGCAATTACTGCATATGTTGCTTCTGCAGAGTATCATCGTAATAATACACAGCATACTAATCTGATTATTTTCTCCTAAAGATCAAGAACGCCAGCTATGATCGAGATAACGGAAAATTCGAATGTCGCATGAGGTACGTTTATACATAACTAGCGTATAGCCCGGCCAAGGCCGGGTTCTAGAGTTCCAGTGGGGGGTGTGCCCAAAGCGAAAAATCCGTCATACTATATTTTAAATAATTCCCAGTGGAGACTTTGTCATACTACATACATACATCAGACTGAGGGTTTGCCCAAGTCATACTGCATTTTAATTAACCTGGTCACAGTAAAATTTGATTCCCCCCTGTGGGAGTAGTTGAATAGCTAATTACTTAAATTCCCGTCGCGTGGGAGTAACTGCATAGCTAACTATTTAAATTCCCATGCTTCACGCTCCCGTTAAGTTCCATAAACCCCGTTAACTTTTACAATTAACGCCAAGCTATTGACGGATTCGGATTCAGCGTCAAAAATACATTCGAATTGATATGCGACATCACGAATAAGCCAGATTTGGACACCACGGTCACGGCGAGGTCACGGGGGCCTCGCAGGTCAAAACCATTGACGGCGTTGGATTCAGCGTCAAAAATACATTCGAATTGACATGCCACTCGCTGTGGGTAGAGTTTCTCAAACTAAAATAATTAATTAATAGTGTTTATCACGATCACTTATCATGATAACCACTATTGATGAGTGATGTATGTATGTGGGGTGTACATGTTCATGTATTCATTTATTCATGCAGTGCAGTGCATGCATGCAGTGGTTGCTCCGCTTCCTTCTTTGTCTACTGTATGGGGCAATTTGCATTGCGAAGACGGACCCAGGGACCCAGGGATCATACTAACACTTTATTAGAGTAGATAATGCATTTAGCTCACACATGTCTTTTTGGTCATCGTGGTGAAACATATTTAAAATAAGTACGTCAATGAAAACAAATATTATTCAATCCTCTCAGGTCTCAAGGATCCGGACACGAACTTCACTCAAAAACTTTTCAGCTGACCGTGCTTCTGCCGCCCGGACCTCCTCGCATCACACCCGTCGAACCCTCAGCCACTGAAGGCCGTACAATTGAATTAACCTGTTCAAGTTCGGGTGGAAGTCCTGACCCACTCATCCGATGGTACCGAGCAGGTAGGTTTTCAAGCGAATTAGTCTAAACACGAGATGACTAGAGAGAGAGTTTAGTATTTATAAAATTGGGTACTTGGTTTCACTCATCATATGAAAATGGAAGCCGTTAAAGCATGATGCAAACTACGAATTTGACATCTATTACACTCAAATTAAGTATAATGCTGAATAAAATACAAACTTGAATTCTTGCATTTTCAGGGATGCCCTACCCATTGGAATCCATAATCAAGAACGGAGGGTCCAGAAACAACCCTACCTCAGCAATTTTGTCCGTTGTTCCCCAAAGAGATGACGATGGGACGGATTACCGCTGCGTGGTGTGGAACAGGGCGTTGGGTGAAGGAGAAAAGCTGGAAAGTTCAACTCAACTCAATGTTAATTGTAAGTCAATTAATTAACTACTATGTATTTACTACGGGGGGAGAAAAGCAGGCAGGAAATTGTGGGGTGGATTGGCTTGTTGTCCAACCATCCCCCTTGGGGTTCATTTGGTTATTCTTGGAAGCAATAATTTTCTCGTAATGGTTTAAGTAATGGGGGACAGTTATAAAGTTGCATTGATGCATTAAAAGACAATAAGCCAAGTATAATGCACTTGCATACATATAGTCAAGGAGGAGGAAGTGTCAGCAATAAAACGGCATCCATTCGAGGTATTAATGTGTTTTCTTGTATTTTTCCCCGGAAGATTATCCACGTGTGAAAGTTGGTCCGGAAAACCCATTGCGAGTCGAGAAAGGATCGCCATGTCGGCTAACGTGCAATGTGGATAGCAAGTAAGTTATACATACATAAGTATATTTGTACTTGTGTTATTTGGTTTTAGGAAGAAGGAGATTCTGGTGAAACTGGACTAAAATATTTTCCCTTAATTCTAGGCCCGCAGTTAACTCTGTTAAATGGACTAGAAACGGACGATTCTCAGAGACCTCTTTCACCTACACCATTCCCAGAGTTTCAATCCAGGTTTGTTGCAGCACAATGCATTTCTTCGCGTAACGATAATTATTGGTCCCAATCCAACCCTTTCCTCGCATGAAAATCCTCCTCTTCGAATATCAACGTTACATGCCTTCATGTAATATCACGTCCATTAAGATTCACCCTCTTCATCGCCACTGGTTGTGGCGTCTTCTTGCCAAAACCATGGTAGGCGACCGGATCTTTTGCTGTGCTGTCCTTGCAGCAATCTTTTCCGTGTGGGTAGTGCGTATACATACGCCTGTCGTGGGTTTTGTGGTTTTGTTTCCTGTACTCTCTTCGGCTACCTGAGTAGAATTTTTATGTCCAGATTCTTATTCTTTTTGGTTTTAAAGTATTGAACTGAGACCAGAAAGATTGCCTTATTCTCCTGCGACAGCTACACAGAAGTTGTTTTCACGCAAATACGCAGCTGCGTATAGTTTAATGGATTGTTTAATCGTATCTTATTCTTAAATGCCATTAGTATTATCCATTAAATTTGAAGTTTGCACAATAAAATTGACATTTGAAAAATATGCAAATAATTCTGACGGAGATGATTTTGAATCCAAATAGGACGCAGGAACGTACGTTTGCCAGGCAGAGAACGGGTTGGGACAATCAGGAGAGTCGGACTTGAGCTTGGAAGTTTTATATGCACCAATCGTCTCCGTGATTGCCAAGAAAGAGATTGAAGAAGGTGAAAATGTGTGGATCAAATGCAACGTGTCCTCAAACCCAAGACCAGCTTCCATCGAATGGATAAAAATGGATGACCCCAATTTCCGACAAACTGGAGATATTTTACGGTATGGATTAATTTTTAAGAAACTTCGTGTTACAGTGGTCAGACATTGCATTATTTCCTGTATAATTATAGGATTGAACGTGTGTCTGCTGCAAATGTGGGAACCTACGCTTGCAAAGCTGTCAATATAATCAACCCATCCGGGGACACCAGTACCTACGAAAGAACTGGAAATGCCACGGTGACCCTGATGATTAAACACGCTCCTGGCAAAACATTCATTGAACCAGCCGAACCAAACGTCGTAGAAGGGTCCGGAGTAACTTTAAATTGCGGAGGTAGGTTGATAACATGATAGTTATTAAATACAGCCAATAAAAATTAAATAGCAACCTGCTATCAATTATTATCATTGAGCTTCCAATGTTTTTACAATTATTTTCTTTGAATTTGTATAGCGAATCCTCCCGGATGGCCCCTTCCAAACTTTAGGTAATTATTGGAGCGTAAATATCGTATAATAGTAATACTCAGCGGCCATATGTCGCATAATAATAATAAGAAAAATATGTCAATTCCTCACACTTGTCACTTTCTTTATATGATTCATATCAAAATTTCAGATGGTGGAAAGAAGGTTCTGAAAGCACAATTTCAGTCGGCCCTCAACTGAATATTGGATCTGCCAAAGTATCTTCTGAAGGGTAAGTTGAAGCTAATTCTTATTATTGTACTTCATTTCATATTTCTCAAAATGACCTCATGTTTCCAGAGTTTATTTGTGTCAACCAACAAACGAAATTGGAACCGGGACCATTGCTTCTGCTACTTTGAAAGGTATACTTTTATAGGCTAATTTTCAACAAAACGTGAGTCGTATATAATTGCGAAAATGATTAATTTTGATCTTTTTTTCCAAAGTATACCAAGCACCAAAAATCGTCCAGACACTTCAACCTCAGATTTTGAAAAAGACTGGCGATACTAATTTCAAAGTTTCATGCACCGCAACTGCGAAACCACGACCATCAATTTCGTGGGCTAAAGATGGTCAAATCTTGCAACCGAATTCCCAGTTGGCTCGTGGATTTTATCGAATTGAAACGCACGACATTGAAGTCAAGAATGGTGCTTACACAGTGAATAGCACGTTGTTCTTTACTGGAGAAAATAGGCCGAGTGGTCAAATCCTTGCAGAAGACCGGGGTTATTACGCGTGTATTGCTGAGAATGAAGTCCGAAAAGAAGAAAGTCACATGTATTTAAGGTACAATACATACTTAAACGTTGCAATAACTATAATACTAAATACAATACTATAAAAATGTATTATAAAATATATAGGGTTCAACATAAGCCCATCTTTATACATCAAAGAACATCCGAAATCGATAGAGTAGCTTATGACTCTGGAGAAACGGCACATATTCCCTGCAAAATCCAAGCTTTCCCCAAACCAGAGTTTGATTGGTTTCACAATTCTTTAACACTCAACTTTGATTCCAAGCATTCTCGAACATACGAACAAAACTTGACAATTCTGGCAAATGACGTTTATATTTCAACTCTAATTGTGCACGGAGTTCAAGAAGAAGACTATGGCGGATACAAATGCAAGGCAACTAATTCAATGGGAAATTCATCTTCAGTCATTACCCTGGAAGCTAAAGGTCCTCCATCGACGCCCAAGCATATTAGAGTCATTGATGCTACGGAAGTGTCTATTTTACTTCAGTGGGAGGCTGGATTTGATGGGTAAATACTTAGTTTGCTCCGCTTAACCTGACCATAAAATAACTTGTGTATATTAAATAGCAATAAATAATACATAATTTCGTCATTGCAGTGGATATGAAGATACCAAGTATTTGGTGCAGTACTTTTCGGATGATGAAGCCGTTGGGGAAGCCAGTTGCCAAAATCCATGCAACATCACCGGTCTGAAACAACAGACCGAGTACAATTTCAGAGTAAGTTTGAATGAATTACAACTTCCCTTTGTCCATCTCATTTTCAAACAAACGATTGATGTGAGATTTACTTTCTTTGTTTTTTTCATAGATCAAAGCGGTGAATGATGTTGGAACTAGCGATTTCTCTAAGAATCTCACTGGGTCCACAAAAGTTGACTTGACCAAAATTCCTGACCCTATTGAGGTTAGTAATCTGAAATTATCTCTGCATAATTAGTGATAATATTTAGTTTCATGTGGTTTGGTGTTGATGATTAATGAGATAACGTAACTCAACTTTAATTGAGTAACTATTTCATTTTACAGGTGAAATTTGAACCCAAGTCTAAAACTTTGCTATTTAACCTCATTAAACCGATGCCCATGGCTGAAGCTAAGGTGGGTTTTTTTTTATTTCTTTACTACGTTTGAATTATGTTGACGCATCTTTCTTGTTTGTGTAAAAAAAATTATAACAACGTTTCAATTATGTTATTTTTCAGATTGAAGTGTTTGTGTCCGGTGAAGCCAGTTGGAGAAAGTATAGAATGATTCCTTTAGAATTTGTCAACACACATGAGCACATTATTGAGGAAGAGAAACCTTTGGAACAAGTTAGTAAATTTTTTATTTGGTTTATAGCTCGAAGCAGTTCGCCTTTGTTACTCTTAAAAAATTAATCTACAAGACACTATACGTACAAGCATATAAAATATATGTACATCAATCTTTCAGGTTCGCGTCTCAATCTGTTTTGAGTCTGAAGCTGCCTGTGGAAACAGTATCAATGCAGATGAAGGTTGGTTCATTTTTTTGTGCTTTATAAACTCAACTTTTTTGATTCATTACTAATGGAACTTCAATCAATTTGTAGTGAACTCAGTCCCGGCAAAGGCGCACATTAGTGGAAGAGTTCCTTACGTAATTGGTAAGTCATCGTATTTATAAATATAAGGCAATCAACTTAAAGAGTATTTTTTTACCATTCTAGGAGGAGTAGTGTCTGGATTTGTTGTACTAATTTGTGTGGGACTGATCCTCATGTTTTGCTGTTGTCGGAAGAAGAAGATTGTCAAAAAAGATTATGAAATGGGCCGTGGACGTGACGCAACTCAAGACGCTCCACCACCGTATTACAATGGAATGGAGAATAAAGGTTAGTGTTGTTTTACTCGCATTTCATTTCAGTATTGGTAATAATTGGTATAGATTACAACGAATTTTTATTTTTTGTTTAGGAATGGAACGTTCCATGGACGTCATCGAAGACAGTAAGTCGTATAGTGCATCTTGAAATCGTAATTAAATACTAATTTTTATTAATAATGTGATTCTTTTTCAGCTCTGAAAAATTTCGATCAACAAAACGGTTACATTAGTTATAACGGACTACATCATCAACCTGTAAATGGAAATGGAAGTAAGTAATGTAAAATTCCTAGGGTAGAAATCTAATTGAAATTTGTTTCTAACAATTTTTCCTATTACTTCCGTAGCAATTCCATACATTGATCAGAACAGTTACTCCAACTCTAACAACGGGGGGTCCGTCAAGTAAGTGCAATTCAATATATTTTATAGAGTTTTTGGTTTTGCGAGTATTTGATCTGATTTGGTTTAATCAATCATAAACTTTGTTTTTTGTGTATTTTTAATGCATTGAGTCCTTCATGGTTCTATATAGATAATAATTTCAATTATTTTCTTATAGCTCACAAGATTCCTTGTGGAAGGCTCCTCAGCTTGTGCCAAGTGATCAACAACAAATCAATATGCAGAACCAATCTATAAATCACAATCATCTCCACGCCACCATGCATCATCAGCAACAACAGCAACAACAACCCCATCCAAATCACAGGAATAGTGGTAACTACGAGCATCATCAGTCATACAGTAACGCACCAGACGATTACGTCTCCTACGATAACCGAGGCAACTACGCCACGGACCCATACGGTCCCATACCTAAACCTAAGAGAAGACTAGATCTCATTGGTACGCCAAGAAAAGTCGTTTTAATATGTAATTCTATATCAACGTTTGCTAATTTATATTTCAAAATCTTTAGGTGATTCGCCATACCATGAGCTAAGTGGGTTACCGGACCCATATTTAGAGCCAACGAGTCATTCCCATGCCCACCCCACCCATAACGGAGGAGGTCATGAGCAGGAACTTCCAGCTAGAACCCAACCAATGACAATGACGTTCGAAGAGTCCTTAGAAAGTGGTTACTCTACTCCTAACTCACGCAATAGGAGAGTTATTAGAGAAATAATCGTCTGGTAAGTGATCAAATTGGGGATTATTAATCCTGTGATTTTTTATCGAATCGATCGATGCAACATGGAACTAATACTTCCTTTGTAACTTTATTTCAGACGACAATCGTGCCAATTAGAAACATCATTATATTCTCATAGTGAAAATGATGATGAAGATTCTTTTATTTAATAAGCCGAAAGAGTGACCATTTTACAAAAATAGTTTTATCAACGTATTGGAAGCGCCCACTTATCCCACTGAGAATACTAATGCAAGAACTACGTATAATTTATTTGTTTAAATGCTCAAGTGATTTGTAGTGTGTCTGGTGTGGCGAGTGTGCTTGTAATTTTTTAAAATTCGACTATATACTTCATCTTCTGTCCACCTGCATCACTTTTCAAGAATTAGCCTACATACATACATATAAACGACATCACATATACTAGACATACAACTTGAAGCGAATTTGCATACTTTAATTCAATGGTTACTACTTATTTTTATTGTTATAGACGTCATTGATAAAGTATATTTTTGTACCTTAAATTTAACTTGATAAGATTTGCATAAAACTATATGATCTCATCATTTAAGTGCAGGAGATTATTGTTATTGCTGCTTAATTAGTGTTTAATTTCCTTATTGCATATATATTCATGAACATGCATATTATGTAATCGCGTGTTCACAGTTTTGGGTGCAAGTGCTTGTCCATTCATCCGTTTATGCAGCTATTTATTAAGTAAAAGATTTTAACATGACAAAATATGTATACTTAAGTTTTTTTTACTTGTTAATTATTTCCCCCACTCTGTTGCAATATTTACCTTGTTTATACTATAGCTAATCTAGAAAAATAATGCACCCTTCGTAGCCTAATTTTTTATTGTTTTATTTTCTAAACATATATAAAATTAATGTTTTGCGACGCTTTCTTCCACATGAAGTATACTTTATGTCAACTGTGCGTGATTGATTAATGTGTTTTTTTTACAAGTGACAATGAATATTTCTTATACAGCGTGTAAATTTTGTATCAATAATAACATGTAGGTAGATTTATAGAGGTAGATATCAGATAATCCAGAGAACTTACTAAAATTAGCTAGAATATTGCGTAACATAATTCCAAGAAAAAATAATCAGAATGTAAATATATGCACATTAAAGAGTTATAAACTAAATGTGTATGTGATGTGGTGTGTAAAGCAGAAGGTACGAACGAATTACAAATATACTTATTCTACTTGAAAGGTACAACTTCTTTGTACTATACATACTTTAAAATTTTGTAAACCATACTTAACTCAAATTAGCCATCACACAATGACAATTTATCTTCGCAAGCCATAATATTGTATAGTCGGATTACCTACTTAATAAATGTACATAGAAATTTAGTCTGTATTTTAATTTATATTAACTTTACGATGTTTGTTTCTAGTTGTGTTATATGTCGAATTAGGTATTTTATGTATTTAGTATAGAGTTCATAGAAATAAATTCGTCGTCGCTACGTAGGGATGAATAATTAGCTTATTGCAAGAGATATGCTCATTTTTATAAGGAAATTCACGAATGCATGCAATATTTAAGAAGATGTCACATCACAAATATTTATTGTCCAACCTCTAATAATGTCCACCTTCAGTCTTAATAATAACACTGTTTTTGCGGCTCGTATACATAATAATTGAGAAATAATAATTATATAATCGAAATCGTACTTCTTTAATATTCTGTATCTCGTAAAAACTTACAAAACATTGGAAATACTACTAAAATCTAAACTATAGTTTTACTGTCACGTGACCTTTCTTGTAATATGGCAATGTTTGTGAAATGCTGACGATCAATTTAATATAAACTCATGATCAGGATGTGTTCGGTATAATAAAATGAAACGTAAAAGTGAATATTTGCATTGAATTTTTATTTATTCAAGTTCGCATTACGATCACGAAGCAGCAAGAGAAAATTTGGTCATGCATTTTTAACGAGGAACACACAAATGTACATATTAACACAATTTATTATGGTGTGCTAGATTTGCACAAAGCATACAATTGCCTTGGTCGTACATATTGGATCTCGATATTGTTCCAATCTAGGCCCTCGAGATCGGATGAACTCTCTGCATCTACATCTTCAGAAATGCTTACAAGAGGAGGTTCAGGAGTATCAGAAGGGCACGTGTTGAAGGCGTTATTCACAATTTTGTGCAATTTTGATCCTACTCCGCCTAGTAGTTCGGCTGTGCTAAGTCTGGACGTCGCTGCTGACCTTTTGCTACGTCGTTGAGTTTGTTCATTTTGTAGATCATTTTGACCGTCGGCTAGCGGAATACCAATACTGGAGATAATTTGTGATTTCTGCTGGACACGACGCTTAGGAGGCAATGGAATAATTTCATCGGACCAATAACGTAAAATTTCATGCGTTGGTTGCGTCCCTCCGCACAATGACTCGATCGTTGGCGTCTTCTGCCCTCGTGCTGCTGGTTCGCTTGGTCTTTTTCCGTTGCGACCGCACTTTTGACTCTCCGTTGTCTTTGTATTATTTGCTCTATTTGTCCCAGTTTTGCTTTGTTCTACAATGTTATTTATTAAATTTAATGTCTTCTGAAAACGTAAGAGTGGATTAATGTGTTTCTTCACTTTTTCAGTCTTATGATCTAATTTTAAATGCATTCGTGCAGATTGTGGTCCCGAGGTTTTTTCTATTGTGATAGCAGTATTATTGAACAATGGGTAAGCGGGGGTTGCAGTAATAGTATGTGCAACAGGAACTTGTACCTTCGTATTTTCTCGGTTCATTTGTGCCATCTTTGTAAGGTTTTGGGGAATTTGCAACGTTTTATACATAAACGGTCTAACTGAAATATTTCGCGACAACTGTAATGGTAGCTGTGCATGATTTGCGTGCAGTACGGGTTGTTGTTTTTGTAATATGGGTCTAAGGTTTGGCATTTTTCGGGAGGAGGGATTCGCCGCCTGAACACATTTCACATTAGAATAATTTGAATCGATCGAGGCTGGTTGTGGACGTGGTGATTGAAAAAGTGGTGCTGGCGGTGTGGAGATTGAAAATATTTTTGGCTTAGTTTCAATTGCGTTCTTTGAGGTCAGTCTTGGCAATATCTGCTTTAACTCTGGTCGTTCTTTGGAATATGTTCTCGTACTTTGAAAAGATGAATGCATAATAGCCGGTGCTAGAGGTGGAGGTGGGCGTGGGTGGTGGTTCAAGGGTCTTATAACAACGGATGAAGAATTCGCATTTTCAACTGGTGGCCTACTAGGCACAGCCGTAGTTTTACTTTGCGTTTTTGACAATGCTGATGTTACTGCGTGACAAGTGCACAGCTCGCACAACCATCGCAAAAATTTCTCTCTCTTTTTGTATATCCGAACTAATTTCTGCAATTTTTCATTTTCAATCCTCAGTCTTTGGGTCTCTTTCGATTTCCGCTTGTGGTGATCATGAGTAACTTTCGCTCGTCTAATTTGTTGTTGCTTTATAGGGTCTTCTGGAAAGTCTTCTGGGTTGAGCATGTACAATTTACCCTTAAGATTACGATTTCTCGGTTGATGCTCCATTTCCAAATACTCTTCCGTAGTCAAAATATTAAAATGATCATCCCTGTTGATATGTTGGATTTGTTGCTTCCTTTGCCTACCTTGTGGATGATACGAATTGTCGGCGTCATTAATAGAGTTATAGTAAAGTACCTCAGACTCTTCATCATATTCTTCATCGTCTTCATCATCACCGTCGTCGTCTGTGATCAAGGATGATGGGTATTTAACTCGAAAGTCTTCCGAGTCTGAGCTGTCGTCAATGTTCTGGATGCTTTGTTCTATAATAGCTGACCTACAAAAACTAGTCATTTCGGAAATCCAACTGAAATCAAAGCAGGAATTAACTTTAATAGTTTGCAATACACTTTGCATATACAGTTTATGTATAGTCTAGTGTAACATACCAAAAAGTAATACGTTTGAGTTGGCGTTATTATCATCCACTGTGAGCTCAGCTTTGTCCTCCCAAGTTGAGGGGGCGGGGGTATAGAAAAGATATTAATATCGCACTATCTCCAAGAATCGAAAAATGCTTAGCGTCGTCAAGATCTTAAAAAACAAACAGCATACGTATTGCTAAAATGTCACTAATGTATGTACCTAGATAATTGTATTTATACCTTCGGTAGGGATGCGTGGAATACTCCCAAGTGGTAAAGAATTAATGCGTCCGTGTCTTATCTTTGCACGATAAGATGCCTTCAGGAATGATCATAGTCAACGAAATCAATCCTTAAAATAATTCCTTATTAGACTTTTATAGTCGTTAATTTTGATATAATTACCAAATTGAGGGACGCTTTCTCCCTGAGTGAGGGTAGTAGAAATGCGAAGGGGATGGAAAAAGTGGATAGCGTGGGGTTTTGTACGAAGTGTACCCATTCTCCCTTCCCGCAGACTCACGCTGAATATCTCGTTTGGGGCATTCTTTCAAATCTTTCATACTACCCAAAAGAATTAATGATAATGCATTACTGATGATAAGCTGTTTGAAATCAGACATCTTCAAATTATAGTGGTCTTTGTGTTATTTGCTCCGCTAAAGTAGTAGAGCGAGTAGCTTGAGCATGATTTCATTCATGATGCCCATAAGTAAGTACAACAGAATAAAAGCCGGACAACAAATGCATACACTCTGTAGAAACTAATAGTACATTGAAAAAAATGCTATAATTTTAGAACCAGGAAATGAATTCCTTACTAGACTAAAATCAACAAATTTCGTAGTCACCACCATGCTACATTTTGTAACCTTGTTTTATATTGTCTAGCTAATGGTTTAATTGCGAATTAAAATCTGCGACTGGACCACAATTTACAACAAACCACTCTTGCAGAGAGGCAGCATCGTGAAAGAGTCATATCGTTTGCAAACTTTGATGATCAGACGGCCAATTGCCAGCGCGTGCCACAAGACAGTCATGAGAAAGGGGGACATGGTGTCGTGAGTAAATTAAATTACGAGACATCTGGCACTTTTTCAGAAACGACGGGAGGGAGCAATTTGGTACAATACATACGCACGGGTCCATTATCATTCTTATTGTTAATGGAAAATATTCCGTGATCAACGACAGATTTGATCCCAATTTGATTTTGTCCAAAACTGGTCACATTACAGGTGGCATTTTCAGAGATACACATCGGTTGAGAGGACGTATTTTGAATGAGGGCTGAAGTGAAGCATTATAATACAATGCAAACAGGTTGGTGTCTGTGATCTTCCGGGCTCTGATTCCTGGTTCCTGTAAAGGGTTCGATAGGCCACGGGTTTGGCGTCAAACGAGCTAGGAAATGGGTCGTAAATTTGTTTCTTGAATTCAGAGTAGCCGGCTGCAAAATAAAATCACAAGAATTTCGCATCGAGTTTTACTTATACGAAAATATTCATTATTATAGAAACATAGCATTGTATGATACACATACATATGCACATAAAATAATGAGAAATGAAAAAAGTAACTACAATAGATCAGTATCTTTCCACCACCTAAACAAAATTCATATTGCAAGGGCTATTGTATATCCACCCAAAGTTTACTAACAACTGGTTTCATATTGTTTAAAAAGAATCATAACAATTTATCATCAACTGTGCCAGTTCCGACTTGAGTATCGCATTTATTAATCAGTCAGTTTATTAATCAGTTACTGTAAAGTGTGCATTTAGTTTTTCTTAATTGTTACTTATTTTGCATTTGCATTTTCATCTGCATTTATGTGACACAATGCATTGCTTCGACATCATAATGAGGATAGTGACCATCTGGATAGCGGTGGTTTCTCATGCAACCAGTTCACCAACAGACTTTGATGGGGAGGCGGAGGGGGTGAATTTGGTGAGAGAGGCAAAACCGGGGTGGGTGAGGTTCTGCTCGGGTGAAAAACGCTTCGATATATTTTCGAACCAATGTCCGGCAGGCTTCTTCTGGAAACCCGATTTCAAAGTGAATGAGAATGGTTGGGACTGCGTCTGCTCAAGAGGGGCGTAAGTAGACATATAATTTATCAACATAATCTTGGGTGACAAAATTTTTGCCTTTTCTCTCTTCAGTTGGAGACTCAGTAATAAATGGTGCAGCGCAGAAGATGTTCCGAGATTTGTTCAAGGAGATGTTACATGCTTCGTGCCAGACAAGGTGCTCGAAGCTTGTGAAATTACTATTAATTTTTTTAAATTTCAAATTGTTTTGGAACAATGAACCAGAATCTGCAAGGAATGCTATACTTGGGGGACCAATACAGTGCATGGGACTCGGGGGAACCTGTTTTACTTTCCTCGTACAAGTCCGGATTTACAATCAAGGGGGATGACTTTGAGGAGAAATGGAAACTAATTCATGGGAAGAATGGCGATGCTGGAATTTTGATTGTAGTATGACGATTTTTATATTAGCATTTATGAACAATCAAATATGCTGATGATTGTTCTAAAGTAATTCAACATAAATCTTATCCGTGTCATGTCATTTTATTTCTTCTAGCGACCAAGGGACGACTGGACAGTTGAAGATCAAAATAATCCTGATATAAAACTTTGCCTTCGTGCCCCAATTCCTACTTTCACCGAGGAAATTGATGGCATTTATATTTATAATGTTTCCCTCTTTTTCAACAAAAAAGTGAACAAGGCTTCACAATTTAAATTGTTGTTTACTCGCACTTGCTTCACTTGGAAGAAAGATGATGGAAAAACATGGTATGAGATTTCGGGTGAAAACATTGATGATAAAAATATGGTTATTGTGCAAAAATATAGCAACAAAACAGCTACAGGTATAATAAAGTCATATAAATATGCAAGGCAGTTATGTTTCACGGATATCTACCTACCCCTCTGTTAAATATTATTTTAGATGTCTGCCAGAGTTGTATGTCAACGGTTATTCCTGATGCACCGAAAGCCGACGTTTTCGGAAAACCACTCAAGCGACCAGAGAAAAAGACGATATATGATCTCAAAAATGTTGCAATTCTAACTTCCGAGATCAATTTACAGTCTGAAAGACTCGGACTTTACTGGACAAACAGATTGTTGAAAAAGGATGCAATGGACTATGCCAAAGGAGATTTCCAAGAGTTGGAGATTTTAGAAAAAGCTGCCGTCCTGGCTTATGCAGCATGCAATATGAAATACATCCCTAAGGAATTTTACCAGTACTTCTTGGTCATGTTCAGAAAGTTATTATCCGAGAGTTTTCAAAAATATGCCCCAGTATCGCCAATTAATTCGGAATACTACAAGAAAATCCTCGATTTATTGGAACAATGTAAAAAGAGAACAAAGCCAATAGATTTTTCCGTGGATAAAGGGTGTCCTGAAAAAGTATTGCAAATATAACGTGTCTAAATGCAATATAACTGACGCACAGAGTAATAATATTTTTTGTTGTATGTAGTATTCCAAATATCAGGACTATAAATTTACAAACGAGAGCCGACTTCCAATTTCAAAATTCAATGATTACAACGCGGAGCCAGCCAAACATGATTATTTGCTAGAATTTGTTTGGCGTTTAAAGTCTTTTCTTCATTATCAATGTTTTCCAGAATTCAAGGAGGTAAGCTGATAAACAATATTTATTTTATGAAGTCAGAGAAGTATTTATCAGAAATACTTTAATTTTTCTTGTTATATAAAAACATATTTAAATTCAAGGACTCTGTTCTCCATGACTTGATTCAAAATCAGATGGAGTCGTTGTTCACCGAAGATATTTTACTAAGATGGTACGACATTCATCATTGTTACATACTTTTATTTTATATCAAGTTAAATGTAAAATCATTGCAGGTATAATCCTTCCATGGCGTTCAGAATGTACGACCACATTTTCAAGACAACTCTTGATCTCAAAACGACAATGAGCAATTTCGAAAAATGTGTTCGTGTAGTTCACGATGTAAATAAATTCCCTGTTTGGTTAAAGCGACCAATTGACCAACCATCTCGAACTCAACAATCTCTCCTCGCCAAGAAGAAAAGGAGGAGGAGAAGACGAGCTATCGACGACGAGTACGATTTTTTTGATTTGCTTTTTATATGCTTTCAAATTATATAAATACGTCGTACTTTATTAAGAATTGAATTCCTTCTGTATTATGCAGGCAAGACGGAGTAGAGGGGGAAATTTCAATGGAAAGCGAGTTTACGGACATGGCCCTCGAAAATATTAGACAGTTAGCTCATTAATATTTTGAACTGTACTTAAAGCTACTTTCACTTTTATCAATTTCGACAGGAAACGCATTGACGAAACGTCACTGTCAATAGAAAATGAAAGCGAGCCTAGTACGACGACCATGTCGCCTCTGTCCGAAGACACTCTGACTTCCACTTCAACAGAGATTCATTCGACAGATGAATTAAATATAACCAGTTTCTCCGGAGAAAATAAATCCTCTCCAAGTTCTTCCTCTGGAGAAGAAATCGATACCACATCAACCAATCCTGTAGCGCAGATACAGCCGACAACTTCACAGGAGGAAACTACCAGTCAAATTACAACCACACTATTAACAACTTCCGCCGAAAGAGTCAATGCCTTGTCAACAACCGGATCAAGTGAAGAAATTACAACAACGACGCAGTCAACACTCTCATCACCGTTATCTAGTTCCGCAGAGAACTTTACGTTTACTACATTATCACCAATAGTAAACGTTCCAGTAGAATCGACTACTGTGGTGGAAGAAGAAATTAGATGGAAGCGTGAAGACGTTGACAATTCTGATGAAGAAACAACGACCACGACGACTGAACCTTCTGCTGGAGAAATCATGCCAATAATTGAGGAGCCTTCTCCAACGGACGATGAGTCGATCACTCAGAGTAGCATGAGAAATGAATATATCATGATAAATACATTCACATCATCAGAAAACATTGGGAGCGAGGACAGCACCAGATCGTCGACACTAGTGGAAAACGAGAGTGAAACCGAATCGGTGCCCAAGAAGGACACTGCTGAAGAGTCAACAGAGGAGAATCAACAGACGCTCAATTCGACGGGCAAAACGAGCAGCTCGGAACTCGATAGCCTGGAAGCTCTGTATGTTGACAGTGCGGAAATGGAGGAAGGAGGGCGACCTGGGGCAGCAGATAAAGTCTGGAATAAATTCACAGTGGATGGGGTCAAAGGATTCGCCGGAGCATGTATCACTTCCATGAGTTCATTTGCCAAAGAGTCGAAACATAGCATGGAAGAATGTTGGTAAATTAATACGTTCATATGTATGTACATATTTACACAATTGTCAATTGTGTGAAGAAACAAATGTAAATACCTAATTAAAACCATTAAGCTTCGTCCATGCTTCATGTCTTGCTCCCGATCTGATTTTCTTAATTATCACCACAAGAATTAAAAATTTCGATCAATCGAAAAATCCGATTGGGAGCAGGATATGATAATGACATGAGGTATGGACGAAGCTTTTCTCGATCATTACATATCAAATAAACTGAGGACATACTAACAAGTATTTTAAGTAGGTTTGAAATAATTTTATTTTTAAACATATTTGTGTCAAAGTTGCGGAAAGACGTGAGTGATGTGGCATGATAATGATATACATATTTTTTTTAGAAAAGTAAGAACATACTGTTATATGCTACTTCGTAATTGGTCTTGTCATAATTGCCTTAACATTTACCAATATATTTGCTATTATAGTTTTAATAAATTACAAAAACTAACTATTCTCCACAAGTTGTGCGGCAGGGTTTTATTATGTGGTGTGGTAACTCAAACATATCCACGACTCCTCATCTCAGTACAATAACATTACACAATTCATGTACCAAAGAGGGAGGATTAAAAAACATTATGTAATAAGTTAAAAAGTATAATGTATGTATTATGCTTGATTAAAACAAGTTGCTAGTGCACATCAACTTTAAAAACAAATAAACACGTACTCATTAAACTGTGGTTCAGTTTTATACATGCTTATTGCAGGCACATTTTACCATACAAAAGTAGGGAAATATTCATAATAAGTTTGTTGTAACGTAAAACATGCACTTTTTTCTTATCTTATACTACGTATAACATCTTGTATACTGACGTATTCATTATGAGTTACGATCAGCACAAACCGTTTTTATCTGACCCATTCGAAGCGGAGGAAGCAATAATTCCATTACGGTACGTGCTGCTCACATCAACATCCATGGGTTCTCCTCCAATCATTGCTATCGAAGATGGGGTTGACAAGGCGGCAGTAAAATTTATGGACGCTAGCAGTGTCTATATTAACAAAGTTTGCATAACATGAGATTTAGCAACAAATACTAACTATGCGACGAATTAATAAAATGAACCCAATTTATTTACATTTGATGAAGACCACGAATCCCGAAGTGCGTTAGACGAGTTATTCTCCTTCATTTGGCCATGCAAAGCTTGTACCGTTTCGTGAAATGACTGTGCAGGTAATAGCCCAAAGTCATACAAATTCGTAAGATGTAGAACAAAGTTTCTGTATAGATTTTTTTGTATCACTTTGTAACCGTAACGTTCTACAAATTTTTTGCATGCAAGAGGTATTTGGCAGTCTCCAACATAGCTGAAATAATTAAATCCTACATATTAACCGTCCATAATAATATTTTTCAAAGTGCAATGTAATTACTTTTCATGCATCACATGGTGATTCCACATTTTCATAATCTCCTTTTCTCCTTCGTTGACGTCGGTAAATTCATCAATCATCATACAAGTCTTAACTTTAAGCCATTCTGGATCTGGCTCCCCTTCAGAATCCACGTCAATTTCACGAGGATGAATTGGTAGACATGTGGTTGTATGATGATAGAGACTGTGATGCCATATAAATAGTTGGTTGAAGTTTTTGTGTCTACATATGTTGTGAATTTTAATAATAAACTATTATTAAAATTTACCGATTATGTCCAATCATGTAACTCCGATTTTGATCAGCATTTTTGTCTTCGTTGTCAAAAAATTCTCGGAGAGAATTCTTTTCACGCTTCATTTTCCTAGGTCTAAAGGCTAGCATGCAGAAAAGTTGTGTTCTCTTTCCTGGAGGGACTGAACGACCAAATGCTTGTCCTGGAGGCTGTGCAACCAAGTCATAAGCCGATCCCGTGTACGATCCATCGAACGATTCGTTTATGGCCACATCAATTCTGGCTCCATTTGCAATTCTCTGAAATAAGGGACACAAATTTGGTCAAGAAAATTATTCGACAAATTAATTCAACTTAAACAAATTAATTCATCCCTTACCGAGAATGTAAACTTAAATCGAGGGTGACACACTTTAAATTAAAAATACTTGGTTATTAAATTATTCTTGATTATTAAATATTTGTAGTCTGAAAATAAGTTTTCGAATTACCTTCCAAATGTTTTAATAGAGAATACAAAATAACGCAGTTGATGGAGCACCAAGGACACCTCAAGTCATTTCGTTTGGATATACCTGTTGGAATTGTGAAATAATTATGTCATGTAAATATCTTAATTTGAATGAACAAGTAAAACACCGATATTGGTGATGGTCAAAGTATTTCAATATCTGATGTGTAGAGATTTTAGAGCGAGATGCTACACACCGGCAGTTCTTCATCTGCTTTCCTCACAACATATTATTTGTCAACTTCCTCCCTCCATATTTTGCACACACTTTTAGTTTAGTTAACGTAGAATAAATTAGTTAGTTAATTATTATCTATAGACTGTGATAACACAAATTAATTAATATGTAACGCCGTATTCGTAAGTACAAATGTTACGTTCTTGTAGATGTGATTGTTATCATAATTTTGATACAGAACTAGTCTCATTTATAGTTATTAATAAAAAAAAACATACCTGTTACGGAGTCGTTGCGACACTCGGTCGTCTGTCTGAAAAAATATTAATGCTTTCATTTCATACGTGTACGGTTGAGAAACAGTTACGTAGATCACATAGAAATATACAAGAAACCAAATGACACCATCTTGCAGTACCAGACAAAGTTACATGAAAGGTCAAGATTATTACTGTTCAAGAACTCAACTCTAGAACCTCGTCTGTATAAATATGGCCCTGCACATCACTTATGTACCTATCCCGTTTAAATACCTTCGACAACAAACTCAGTCTTACATATGTACTAAATAAATCCAAGCAAACAGTCTCGTTCAACTAAAATGTCCTAAGCTTTCAATGAAAATTCATGGGAACTAATTCAGTTGTTCATTTTCGAGAATCGACATACGTATTAATTTACTGGTATTATTATCATTACCTTGGGGTCGACTGTCTTGGACCAGTGCCTCGAACAAAATAGTATACAACTCGAACAACCTCCATTTCGTCCTTTTCATCATCCAAATCTGCTTTGATGACTGCAATATTTAAAAAATAATAATTAACAAACTGATTAGAATTTAACTCAAACTCTTATAGCCATATACATAAGTGTGCTGTTAATTACCTGGCGATGGTTTAACAGGGTCAACGCGGTCAACCGTTGTTACATGTGATGGGAGTTTGTCCGTGGATGATCGAATTGCCATCTAATTTAAGAGTAACATAACAAAGTGATCAAACACAGAAAGGATATTATTCGATTTGAAAATAGTATAAATGTACAAATTTTACCACAATTTTTGCAGAACCCCATCCGGGTCTATTTCGAAGTCCATATTCATATTCTTTTATTCTGGCGTGATCCTGTAAAGAACCGTGTTTAGTAAAACAAAGTTACTAACAATTTAATAAATTTCCTGAATATTTGTCGTAATTTTGTACATACAGGCTGTAGAGACACTTCCCATGAATTTTCTCGCTTAGCTCTTTTCTGGGCTATTGTTTTCTTTTGATCTTGTCTATTCAATCGCATTTCCAAATCAGAATTTCCCTCGTCTGGAATGTTAATGTTTGTGTCTCGATCATAAACGGTTAGCACTCCGACGTAAACGACGCTGTCGTTGGCTTTACTTTTTCCATTTTTTTGTGGATCATCGTAGACAAAATTTTCTCTATCCTTTGTTGGCAAAGATCGCTGTCTTTTGGTTTTGTTGTCATCGGGAAATTCAGCAGCTCCATTCGTCTTCCTAAGGCTGACACCATGCCCGCCGCCGCCTGGAAGGGACACGCGTCCATTCCCCTTACAACTTGAAGATTTATCCTGAAGCTCAATATTCTCATTACCGTTGACCAAGTCTTGTTTGGCAGTGGTGGTTTCGGTTTTAGAGACCAATTTTGAAGCAGGAATAGCAACTCTGACCGCCAGTCTTATAGATTGGACAATATGACCATTAATTATGTTAAAAGAATCCTTCGGGATAGATAGCACTGGGTATTTTCCCTTCTGAATTGAAATAGAAAAATCTTTGTACGTCTCTTCTTCAGTTTGTGTCTTCACAGGGATTCGACAGCTTGCTGAGAAGGATTTATTTAATGACACCTGGCTTTCTTTGCGTTTGTTTCCGCAAATTTTGATTACTTGAATGTCCACCTTGGCTTCTGTGTTCGATAGCCCTACATAATGCAAATATTTCCAAATGTAATTCCATAAATAACATAATTTTCATCAGAATATATGTTTTCTAAATGCGGTAATAAACTCACAAGTTTGTCCATCGTAGAATCCTATTACTATTATATTTAAAAAGTTTAAATTTTTTGTTAAAATCGATTTAACTCTCTGATCCTCTAGTAATTTTGTTTTTTGTTGTAGCAAGGAGTCTATACTGCTAAATTTTCTGTTGGGGTTGTGAGGGCGAGGCACTCGATTTTTCATATAAGACAGGTTCCGGTAGAGGAATCTGGGCTGAAATTTTATTGTCCAACAATTAAAATCGCAATTACATAACATATTGTATATACAAGATCCATTATATTGGTCTTCTTACGTTTGCAAGAAATGTTGCTCTTATTAATCGGTAAATCACGGTAGGTTCTGAAAAAATAACCAATTATTGTTAAGTCAGTTATTCGCCATACTTGCACCATGTACTGGAAACATTAATCATTGGCATTCATTTTTACTGTGATTGACCACCAAAAAAAAGATTGTCATTTTTATTCTGACGAATGACGAAAGTTCACTTTGTAGGATCACAATTCACAAGCTATGGTATCTCCAGGTTAAGATTTTTAACCGGTCTTTCTCGAGTGCTGCTATTTTGGAATTTTGAGTATATACATATTATTTCAACTATTAGAGATTTTCTTACTTTCAAAGTCCTCAAGAAACTTGTCATGTTCATGTTGAAAGTTGTCAGCCTTTGACCTAACGGCATGTGACTCCTGTGGTGTCCCGGCCACGGCCACTTGACGTGACCCCATCTCACCCCCGATGTGACTCGTATCAAGATAAAACCACGCACAACCCTACTCGTAATTACTAAATTTCCTTAAATATGTTCATATATGGAAAATGACAACCATTTTTATCTGGTTCTTCTTTCCATGAAGTATTAATGGCAGTGGTGGACGATGAAGAGAAGCCGAGGACAACTACAATTTGTAGTCTACAAACTATTAACTTTCGCCGGTCTTTAAGTTGCTTTTAATACGAAGACGAGTGCACCAATAAGGCAGCTAAACTGCTATTGTATTGCTTCATTCAAGTTGAATACGCACACATAACACTGTTTAACCTTTATTCCAGTCAGGTAAACTTACAATTTGAATATTTCTCTCCAATCCTACCTAATGCTACATACATTCCATCCATGCATGTCTTATTACTAAGCTCCCACCACCACCATCATCGTCGTCCACCTAACAGTTTGTCCAGGAGAAACTTGGGTTCAAACAAAGTTTAGAAGTTGATGATTTTTTTAGCCTCCATCGTCACACTGAACTCTCGTATATATCGTACGTTGAATGGGTGGATGGATCATCGGACTATTTGGTTGGCCAAGAAGAAGCTATTTTATCAACCCACTGCTGCTGCTCTGCATATACAGCGCCACACTCTTCTTTCATCCATCCTCGTTTCCGTTGTTCAGCCGCCGGAAACACCCTCCAATGATGAGAGAAAGATGTAGTTGGGGAATTCTAAGACTCGGTATTTCAAAAAATGTACAAAAATCCATGCAAAACAGAATAGCTTCATCTGTGGTCCTTGAGTTGGACGTGAAAGTTTGGATGCGTTATGAGTGAGACTCATTCAATGCTCCGTGTTTTGTATGAAAGTATTTATATGCATTATGCAGTGATCGATCAACGCAGAATTTGGGTTTACCGTATATATATTTTAATTCATATTTAAAACGATATTGTATAAATTTAACAATCATTGTTACTACTTAATATCCTTATTCATGACTCTGTAACATGAAGGTACAGATTTTTAAGTATTTTTTACCCCATATCTATCTACCTCATCAGATCACCGTCAATAGTTAAATTCATGTTTCTCGATAATAAAAATTAAAATTATAGGCTTAATAAGCTTGTCATTCCGCTCGAACTGAGAATTTGTCGTTTGTTGAATTTTTATAAACACTTATTCTATTACTACTACTACTAACTATTTACACCTCCAGATGAAGCTGGTCATCCATTTTCTTTTTGAAAATATTGAGAACAAAGGCAATGATAAGTCCCACGCCGACAATAAAAACCATGAGCAAAGATCCTGCAATTGTTGCGGTGCGGTCAGCATCGCCCGAATCCGCTGGTTTGCCTCCTCCAGACTTGTGTCCATCTCCTGCCACATTTTTGCTGTCAGATGAGAGCTTTGACTCATCGGTCCCCATCAGATGATGATTGTGACCGTTGTAGTCGGGCTGTGTCCCGTTTGATGCAGCCTTTATGTCGCTGAAAACTTCCACAGCGGCTTCCAATAACGAAACATCCGGGTCTTGTGCTAGAGAAGGATGCACTGCCAACAATGCAATTGCGAGAACGCTGACCGTGGTGATCCATGAATTTAGTGGCTTCATCTTGAAATAAGAAATAAGAAACTTGCGTTTGAACCGCTTTCTTAAATACGAACTGACTATCACAGGGCGCGGATGAATGGATGGATTATGTCCTTATTGACTGGGATCCCTCTGGCACCGGTACTGTAAAATTAACCAAGACTTGACTTATTATTTTGAAAAACAATAATACACACAAAATTATAAATTATATTTACGTTTTGTTAAAGGATTTATTAATGTTTGTACTTTATTCACAAAATTTCAACAGCTTAACATTCTTTAGTGTACTAAATGTGAGTGAGGTACGATGTAGATGAGACGAAAAATATATTGCCCTATGCAAACATGCAAATGTGGTACTCAAAAATTGAAGCTTGATATTTAACTCTAATTTAACTGGAGCCTACGTACTAAACTGAAACTCAACACCTGACACCGTCACATTTTCAAAATCCGGGTCGAATGAAAGTATCCAGACGGAGCTGGAAAAGGTTGCTGCTGATGCTGCTTGTTCGTGGTGTGAGAAGTAGTGAAGGATTTTTAACTCACAAAACTGGGAAATGAGACACTCGCTTCTCACGATTTCAGAAATTAAAGATTCCTTACAATTTCATGAACTAAATCCTTAAATGAAAACAACTAACTACACTTGACTCACAATCACGAATATTAACTCCATGTATCCTGCCAAGCTTAAGTATTATGCACCAATGATACCGAAATCGAAAGCGGAAAAATGAACGTGCAGGATGTACTCCGAACTATTTAACCATGTACCCGTGCATATGCAAGTCTGTCTGTTTAATGGTTTTAACCCGAGTTAGTTAATCTCGTTAACGAGATCTTGACTAGAGAGACAGCATTTCTACACACATTTTTTGCCGACAATAATCTTTGAAAGTGAAACCGTCCGGGGGTCTGTCTATGCTTGCCAAGAAAAACGAAAATGTTCACGACAAGCCGTTAAGTATTGCAGAGGAGGAGAAAATTAAATATCTAACCATTTAAAAAATGCACACATGGATCGCTTACCCTGATGCACGTAAGCTAATGATCGATTTTTTCTATCTTACTTCCTTGAGTTTGAATCCGATGAAAAGATCTGTCCCAGATATCATCCAGTGTGTCTTCAGAGCTTTTGTTTTACTTAATTATTAATCAGTCGAGGGTGTGAATAAATTCACATTTGCCTGGTCTAAATGTCAACTGGTGAATATAGGCTGTCCAAGATTTGTTAATGTGCAGTGCAGTAAGTACATAACATGCAAGTTCGGTATTTGCGAGTCCGGTACGGTACATGTGCAGGAGGAGTGTGACAGCATTTTATTATCGGAAAAGTCTCCAGTAGATGATCATGTTTCAATAATATTATTACACAAGTAGTGAAGGAGACGAGCATTTTAACAAGTTGAATGTGATAATAGTTAGCCATAACATCCCAGTACATTAAGTTTCACACAATATGGCCAGATATGATAGCATGTACTTATGTAAAGTGTCTTGGCTCATTTCGTGATAGAACCTATACATATATATAGTTAAGTTACATACATAGTTCAGGAGCCGCGGAACCGTGGGGGCCCATAAAAATTAGGAAACCTATCATTACTAATAAGGCTCTTAATTCATCTGTTACAATTATAATGTCCCCAAATGCCCCGAAGAGCTTCCGATGCCTATTTCAGTATCAAGTATGTGTAAAAATCACAATGCGTGTAATTTGATCACGTATTTAGAAGCAGAACTCAAATATATTCTGCACTGAAGTATATTAATTTTATACCGTGAATGGTTTTCAAAGACATTCGTTGGAATATTTTATTTTCTCGTTGCTTAAATGCATTTCTTACTACCCTTGTAGAACATACACGCATGTGTATGTGTATTACACTCGTACACGAATGGTACAAATTGACATAAATTTTATGACACACTGCATGGCTTGTTATTTTTGCTCTGCACCAGCTAAACCTTCAGCATAAATTTATCACTATGATATGATATGTGACCATCTGTACTTCAGACTATGATTTTTCAATGAGATTAATGTGCTAATTATCCTTGGCTGGCATCAATGGAAATTGGGATCGTGAAAATCGATACATTGAAGCTGAAATGCTTCGATTAAATCATATCGATCAATGCAACTCTCTTCTCGGTCTCCTTAAATATATACATACATGAGTCGTATAAGCATAATATTATTAGTATAAATGCGGACATAATATGAGAGACTTTTATACTGTCGATGTAAAACTATATTAGTATGAGTGCATTGATTTTGATAATACAAATGACGTGAAATGAGCGAAGGTTCCATAGACATTTATATTCCAAAAAATAATGCGTAATAAATTATTTACATGCATTTTTATCCATTAAGACAATTCCGTATTTTTTTTATCGTGGGCTTACAATTATTAAAAATATACAAATGACTGATTGCATGGTACATTTTTGGTCTAAATAAATATGAGAAATTATAATTTATGTCTATATTTAATTGCTTTCATATTTATATTTTGATATTTAAAAACACAATATTATGACAATAAAGACTAGAGGAAAAATGATAACTGTAGTCAGTCGTAAAGTTAACGTATATTTTATGGCAAAGAATTAACTTTTTGAACAAAATCAAAAGCTGTCTCAATAATATCTTGACGTTGTGAATTAAATCATTGGTTTACGAACTTTGTGATCCTCATCCTCATCGCTTGATTCACTTGAATCTTCCTGAGAGGGTGGGGGGACAAGCTCTGGGGTTGGACCCTTTGGACGGATTTCGGTGACCACTATGGCGTTCTTTTCCTTGGCAAGTTCTGGATTAGACTTCTTTTCGTGAGAATGTGCCGTCATGCGAGGAGGGTTTAACAAAGCATCGTCTTTCTGACTGCTGACATTATTTAAACTACTGCTTTTCAGTGGATTGCTCCATGTCCACGTTTTTTTATGCTCATGACTATGCCCGTCGTCGTGACTGTGACCGTGATTATGACCAGACGTCTCTTTTTGTGCAAGCAAAGCTAGCTCGTGTTCGGATAAACAGCACTTTTTTTCATAACAATCCTCCGTTTCGTGGCAGGGCAGAAAGCATTGACGTTTCCGTAAAGTTTCCGGCGAAGCCCCGGTACCACCAGCCTGTCCTTGGAGCTGATAGAAAGTGAAATAATTTGTAAGCACATTCATTTTGTTTTGTTAGCCGTTATTAAGTCAATTCTCAAACCTCTAAGAATTCCGGTTGGAGGGTTACTGATGTAATTCCTTTGCTTTCTAGAAACTCGATAATATTATTTTGAACTATCCAACAGTTGTCTGTGTTTTTAAGAACAACATGTGCGGTTGCAATTACTCGAGATGGGTCCAATTGCCAGACATGCCATTCATGCACATCGGAAATTTCTGGAAAAGTTTGATACAATTCATCCAGTAAAGATTGAACGTTGATGTTTTCAGGTATGGTAAGGAGCAGGATATGGCCAGCTTCCTTTGCTATAAGCATAAGTTGTACATAGCTGGATTAATTCATACAAGTGTAAAACTTTACGAGTAGTGCAAATCATTATCCCAGATCATACCATATTTGTACGACAAAATGGCGAGGATAAAGATTTCAATTATGGCAATGGAAGGGTCGACAAAATCAGCCATTTCATGTTTCCAGAGATGAATAACCAGTGCAACAACGACCACCAAAATGCAACCTGAATAAAATTGGAAGAGTTATTAACCCATAAATACTATCGCTTTAATTTTTGAAATACCCAAGAAGTCTCTCAGTACGTCCAACGGCCCTCCACACTTTAGCTTAGGGTTTGATGGACCCCTTCTTGCCGATGGAGAGATGACGATATCCTGACCATCCCTGTGAGACCCAAGAAAGCTTTTCTGTTGACGTGTGTATCCTGAGTAAATAAAAAATATTTACGTGTTTGAAGATATGAATAAAATAACGATATACCTCCGATAATAGCATAAGCTATAGTATTTGTAAAAATCCCAATCAATCCGACACTTAGCACTGGAATTGGCATTTTCATATTTTCATGATGCGAGGAATGCAGCATAGCCTAATTAGGAAACATAATTAACCATTAATAACGTAATTTTAACTAAATAATAGAGAAATTCAAATTACATACCTGGAGTGCTTCAATAATAATGGAAAAACAGGATGCAGCAAGGAAACAAATGCTAGCAACTGCTCCACAGACGTCAATTCTAGTCCTGCAGATTATACGTGACCATTCAAAATATTTGTAATCAGAAACTTGTTAACGAATAACTATTTGACATCTATTTTGGTGCGTACCATCCAAAAGTATTCTTGAGACTTGACCCTTTTCGACACATCTACGCATAATATATTCTCATTTATGTGGAATCAAATCATTGGAGTCATTAAATATCATACCTTTGTCGTAATTATCGATGTAGCCAAAGCCAAAATATTATAGCTAAATTTAACAAAATGTACATATAAATAAATACCACATAAAATATAGCTAAAACTGTTACAAAATATTACTTACAGCATGTGGTATGCATCAACCTGAAGGATTAAGCTGTGAGCCATGTGCGCAATGACCATTTGAACAATAAAGTAAAGGAAACTTATTAACAAAACAGTGTAAAGTCTTATTAGCGAGAGTTCCCGAAGGAAATATTTCGAGGATGTTGTGGAAGGTGGCATTTTAAGAACAAAATTTTGATAGTCTTTGTTCTGCTCTGGTGAATATTGGACGGCGATCGATAAAACCTCAGAATCTTTATATGTTCCGTTGTTGGTTGCTAATTGCGACATAAATGAGCTGCCTGTCAGTTAATACGCCACTACGTCGCACGTATATGTAATATATTCGTACATTCCTTCAGAAACTGAATTATACGGTTTGCCAATTATATTGCAAAAAATTGTACCCATTTGCTGTATGTATTAATATATAAAAACACTACATGTTTCAAGTTCTACTGGTGTTCTCCAATTTATCCGTAAATTTGATGATGAGGATAAAGCTTCGTCGCGTTAAACAAACACACTTATCTCTTCCAACATATTTAAACAAACCATAAAGACAACTTCAACATTCACTCTCTTTCTCCTCACTCAACAAGTGTGAATGTTATTAGTAATAACTTATTACCATACGAGAAGACTTAATGGTTGTAGACATTCACACTCACAGCTTCAACATTTGGATCAATTGATATCTCCGCATTGTATTTGAATTACTGTTTAACTATGCTGCAACTAGTGCATAACTTGTCACTGGTAGTTCAGTTAAGCTGGTTGAGGAGTACAAACCCATATTACGGGTCAACCCAGCAACACATTTTCGGATTACATAAGTGTCGCATAACCACCACACCAGACCAATAATCCAGGACGAAGAAGAGGAATTTATGTAATGGAAAAAGATTTCCAACAAGTAGAATAGACTGCAACAGATGAATGAACTTCACCTTTTTCCATGTATTTTTAATCTTGCGATCCGGTTTGCCTTTACTTCCTCCATCCACCCAAGACACATATTCATTTTAAATCACGGTTTTTTTCGATCACGGACTGCATACGCATATACAAAGTTAAAGTTAAAGGCACGTTGCATAGTATAAGCAGCTGAACAGATATTTTTACCAGACAAAAAACGGGTGCAAGAATGTGCAGTAGCATAGTAGATCTCGTCTGCCTAAAAGAATTGCATTTTTTTTACTGGATTTTTTTACTGGTGATGGTGAGATGATTCGTGGTGAAAGCTTCAACCCAAATGCAGTGTATTGTTTATCGATGCGATTTTGTTCATGAATTGAATGATGTACAATGTACGGAAGAAAGTATTGCAGGTGTTACAATACATAATGCTATTGGCGATTATCAATACTTGTAATTGCATGAGCATCTGTCTGTCTGGTTCGTTCTGAGATAACAGACGCGTTAATGAACGCTAGTTTTATCTATTTGGAAAATTGGACAGCCAGACAATTAGGATGTGGTAGAAATTAGAAAATAAATATTATGTACATACATATGAGTGAATTGAACGCAATAATAATGATGCTTTCATATCACGACCCTCTTCCTTCATGAAAAAAGCTTTATTAAGTAGTAATGGTTTCTAACCATTTTAGGAATCTTGCGTTTGCTCATTACCAATGTGTCTAATTTAGTACGAACTCAGATTATTTTATACACTCCACTATCCGTCGTAATTTCCACCCATCGTTGCTATGAAAAGAACAATTCCCAATATTGCTTGGTAAAAACAGTCACTGCATTTTATAGCACGATTGCTTGACATTTAGTATCTAGGTAACCAATTAGAAGAATTATTTTATATTTTAAATGATAGGTCGTTTTATTTACAAAAATCATGTAAGGGGCCGAATGGTGATCTCGGACGCCTATCCGGATCAAGTAAAGGTTTTCCCAACCCACCAACATCGGGTTTTTCCTCTACTCCCCAAGCCAACTAAGTGTATTTCATAGTTTATCAATGTTTATGTTAATAATAAATAATACGTTTGATCTAGGTAACTCTTGTGTCTTTTAACGGTTGCGACAAATGGTGGAGTTACAAATAAAATAATTATAGATTGATAAAGTGTCAAATAATCTTGATTTTATAGCGTTGATGCCAATGTCATCTTGAAATTCTGTCATTTACGTTTCAATTTAAATTAATGTCTCAAAATGACCGACGGGACGTCAAAATGGGATGTTTTCCAAAACCATATTCGCGAAGTAGAGGCAAGTGTAGTGGAGTTTATGCGACAAGGCCAGAAGTTCGAGACGAATGTATTGGTATTCCTCTTATCCAAAACTCGCCCGCCTCCAATCGACACCGAAGAATGCGTCACCCTCGAATCACCAGCAGTCGTCGACGTTGACCAGGGACAATTATTCAATCTGTGGGAAAATGTCTTAAAACCCGGAATCGTCACCGCCGGTCTCTTGACATTCGCCATCTTCCTAACCTCAAACTTACGACTTGCTCTATCATCCTCGCATGAGCTGTGGCTGTATTTCTGGCTCTTTGTCGGGAGTTCAATCTTTTTCTTCTTGCTACAAGTCTTACTTTGGACAATTTGGAAGAATAGAAATGCCAGCAGTCCTGAGCCAACAATTGACACTGCGAATATGGAGATACCACAAATACCTAATTTAAACATCGAAAATCCAAAACCACAATCAAATGAGGCATTGCGTTACCTTACCAAATTGGGTGACCAGATCCCTGTACCCAGCATTCAACTATTTTCAATTCATGATAATTCAACAGACGACGCGAGTATCACACAAGTTTCCAAAAGCAATACCTCGCAAAAATCGACCGATTCAATTGAGACGCAAGTGATAAAAAGCCCACCAAGTTGGAGGTCACTTGAAGGATCCGATAGTGCCAAATTACATAACCTGAGATCTCAATCATCACTGAAAGACGCTGAAAAGGATACATCAGGACTTCAAAATTTGGATGCACAAGAAATTGAATTACTAATCCCTGAACAGTCAAACATTTCAATTATCCTTCAGAATGAAATCCAAAGTCGTTCTGATGATGCAATTGTAGACAAGACGCGGAGTGACATGTCACACCCATCTTTGGAACTGGTGTTTAAATCATCAAATTATGAAGCAGATATTTTGCAAGATGATATTTTACTAAATGACGTGCAAACCGGAAGTAGAAGTAATCCTGGTTCCATGAGGAAAGTAAAACTTGCTGACTTGGTGGCTGAACCTTCCGCGACTGTGTCGCTATCGATTATCTCCTCAATTACTGAAGCTAATACGAGTACATCTAGTTCAAGTAACGATGAACATTCGAAGCATCAAACATAAACTTCCTATGTATAAATGTTATAAAAATTAAAACACAATTATTGCATTCCGTACATTTTTTCCTACGATGCATGTAGGTCCCAAGGTCGTAACAATAAAACTAATTCTAAAACATCATCCATTAATATGGATCATAATTTATTGCATATGAAGTCCAATTTTATTTTGTATAATTTTGCAAAATTTTGTGATTTATTTTTTGGTGAAAATGATTATTATGAATAGTTTCTAATTATTGGTATAATTAGTAAATATCTCCAAGCAGCTCATCTAACTGCATGAATTATTTCATATTTAATTCTTCGATAATTTGAGGCTGAACAATCCAAAGTGAAGCTGAATGAACTTTAGAACAAGATTATAGTGTAGTAACAAAATGAGCGACTCTAACCTCGAGGAAGAAATGTCAGCAGACATACCAGCCGAGACATCACCCACTTCCAGCGCTCAGGAATCATCAGAACTTCCGCGACAATCATTGTTTAATCCAATTAATGGTCCAGAACGATGCCGCTGTCCTTCATCAATTCCAGATCAACCAATTCCAAACCAAAAGTCAGTTGGGATAACATTTTTCATAGGACTGGCTCGTTCATCTCTAATTTTTGGAGCGGCAGTATCGATCCTAATATTTGTCGTTAGGAGTTTAGTTTATGCAATTTTCCACAAAGTAGGTTCGCCCCATTACGGATGGATATTTCTCTGCTCGTTTTTCACTGTTGTTATCCTTCTGGTGACTCGACGAGCAGTAATGTCGCTAACCGCAAACCGTAGTAATGAAATTCCGCTAGTACTTCCAGAATACCTCCAACTTTCAGACGAGGAGAAACCAAAATCCGTGAAAAAATGTAGGAAAATTGAAAAACGAGATTGTAAAAATTTGACCGAAGTAAAAAGAAGGGATCAAGCATTGAAAAGTGGATTCGTAATTCCTCCTAATGACCAAAACCAAGAAGAGGATCAGACTTATTTTCTCAAGCACAATCCTAGTGAAACAACTTTGACTTTAGAAAACTGTAAATCAATTTGCAATCTCGGTTCAAGAAAAAAAGTGTACAAATTTCCAAAATTCGATCCAAATTATTATCGCTACTTTATACCACACTCTGCAACTGAACTCACTCGTAAAAGAATTATACAAGATTTTCAGCAAAATAACCCAGTCGCATATAGAAATTATTTAATGGCAGAGGCTAAAAAACAAGAGAAATATGCAAAAATTTGCAGATCATTAAAATCCCTTGAATCTAGCCAGGAAAAAGTTGCCGAACAAAACTACAGCGGTAACCTAACCTAATTTAATTAAAAAATACTTATCTTAATGTTACTTGATGCAGACATATGTATTAATTTTTTCAGACAAGAAAGCAGAGAAACGAGAAGGAACAAGGAAAACCGGAAGAAATTCTGTTGTTACAAGAATCCAATTCTGTATCCCACGAAAGATCCATTAAAGACGAAACAGAAAAGTGACTGCAGTAGCGACAGTGAAAATGACGATGATGGTTTTCTATATGACATCCTCCAAATTCCTCTTCGACGTCCAAATGCCAGTGCAGGGCGTCCCTGGATGGCTCAGGTTGATGAAACCTTTGACGTAAGCATTACAGACTTATTTGGAGAAAACGACCCTTGCATGGCCGGGGACACAAGAGATAGACGAGCTGGCAGATTTCACTGGACAGTGGGGTCGCCGGACGTGCTTCACATCGATCATGCACAAATAATATTTACGTGAATCATACTAAAGTACAACCAACAAAGAAACAATGTCAAATCAATTCAGGAATAAACAATTTATTATTCGCATCAATTATGGGAAAAAATGTGTTTAGGAGATTAAAATTAAAGTTGATTGCCCTTCGTCCCAACAATTTCAATGTACACATCCAGCGCATTCAAAAAGTAAAAGTCCGCATAGACGATTGCAGTATCCAAATCATTCTGGTGAAAGAAAACTGTTCCATTAACTAGGATGGCTGGCAGCCTATAAAGTGGATTCCCATCTGCCCGATACTTGTCAGATATCAAGTTTTCCATGATTTTTTCTGCTGTCTCAAAGTACACGGGATTAGCTGTGATTTTGAATAGTTTCAGGAAAGCATGTGCCGCAATGGAGGCCGCAGCCGTATCTCGGGGGGAATATTCCGTTTCAATGGGTGCTTTAAAGTCATAATACGGAACATAGTCGGCTGGCAAGTTGTTTATGAAGAAATTCGCCGCCGTTTCCGCAGATTCCAAGTAGAATTGATTATCGTTGAGGTGTTCATACACGGAAGTGAAGCCATGAATTGTCCAAGCCAGACCTCGTGACCAGGCAGAGCTGTCACTATAGCCTTGAACATTGTACTTTCTTACGACTGCACCTGTGCTGTCGTTAAAGGCCACGACATGATTAACGGAACCATCTGGATGATAGTGATGTTCTCTGGTCTTGTAGGAATGGGAAACAACCATGTGGGTGTAATCGGGGTTAAAATTGGCAAGTTCAGATGCAGCAAGAAGGAGTTCTAAGTTCATCATGTTGTCAGCAATCACAGTCACTTCTCCAGGTTCACCACTATTCCATGAACGAATGCATCCGGTGGCAGCTAAATTTACATAATCGTAATAATTAAGATAAAAGTGTTGCATTACTCAAGTAAATATTAATCGATTTTTGAATTTGGTATCGAATACTTACGAACATATCTGGATGAGAGTGAGGCAGCCGCTTGTAGAATAACGGGAACAAAACTTTGATCATTTGTTAATTCCAGACCTAGCCCAAAAGTGGACATGATAATAAATCCGACGTCATGGTTTGAAGTGTCATATTGTCGATCTTTTATCCTTTCTTGGTACTCGAGAGCAAGTCGTCGCCAATATGTGTCCTGCGTCAATTTATACAGCATCCACAGTGACCCCCCGTAAAAGCCGACTGTCCAGTCGTTAAACCCTTTAAAATTCCAAGTTGGCTGAAGTGGATTGCCCGTGCTACATACGTATATGTACTCATTTTAGTACTTTAGTGGAAATAATAAATCATGTGCGGATGAAAATTATTATTTGAGAAAAATTCATAACCAACCTAATAAAATCTTCTTCGCCCAAAATACGTTCAGAAAGGATTGCATATTGTCGCACAGCATAGTCAATAATTGTTGACGTTGGCAGTTGTGCTTTATTCTCGGACACTAATGCTACGAATAGCAAGGAAACGAGTAAGGCGTATAGCTTCATCCTGAGAATGGGATTTTGGAAGTGTTCACTGTGAAGGTGAAAATCGGTATGACATAATTTCATGCAGAGGAGTGAAGTCACGTAATTAGGTAATTATGCTGATGGCACTAATAAGTTGGAGGTGTGCACAATATAATCAATCAAATGCAGCAAACTTGTTTTTTATCAAATCAGAAAACACAAATAATTTTATCCAAATGCTGGATTATGAGCTTATCACTTGTCAGCCGTTCATATCTGTGACCTGCAAAATCTACTGTCAAATCTAGTACATGCATTGTTTGCTACTGAGTAAAACTGAGAAGAATATAATGGTAAACAACAAGTTTTTTATTTTTTCTTCATACATCATCTGTCATGTATCGCTACTGTGAAAATCTACTAATGAAACTGTGTATATGTACATTAACCGCATATTACACAGTTACAGACCATGGTTTAAATGTGTTTGAAGCTGGAGTTGGGAACTGAAATCATGATCAATCAAGATTAGATTCTGTATTTAGACTGATCTATCGAGCCATAATTGTTAGTGCAAGATTTACCTTCTCTGTAAACTGGTCAATACAGGCCATTCGAATTCTTTCTGCAGTTGCTGGCGAATCTAAACGGAAAGGTCCCGTGATACTTTGCTCTTTGCGAGCTGACTTTATGGCGTCTTTAATTCCATAGAATGCCGCAGCAGCGAGAAAGAGAGGGGGTTCCCCTACCGCCTGCAAAATGAAATGAGTACAAGTGATGACATTTTAATTGCCATTACAAAAAAGGTTTACAACTTACCTTTGATGAGAACACTGCTTTCGCGTTCGGTGCTCCTCTAAGCAGAGAAACGTTAAATTCTTCAGGAATGTCTGGAATATGAAATCAATAAGCATTATAATTCATTTCATCTTATATAACTTATAAAATGCGAACTATTTATGTTACCTCCAAAGCCTGGAAGTTTGTACATCCCTGGAAAATACATTCTTATTTAACAAACACATAAGTACACGCGCATTGTTGATTCGTACTAACCTGGCCCTTTTGTCAGCAAATGACCTTGTGGAGAATAGCGCAGTTCTTCGAGGGTGTACAGTCCATAACCTTGCATATAACCACCCTCAATCTGACCAATGTCGATAGCTGGGTTTATGCTTTCTCCGACATCCATGACTATGTCGCAACGACGGACCTACAAATTATTGAATGGACTAAAACTACTATTATTAATACGTATTTAACGATAAATAAACATATGTACTTCATGATCCCCTGTTAGACAATCAATTTCAACTTCTGCACAAGCAGCTCCGAAGCAAAAGTAGTTGAATGGTTTTCCAAGTTTCGCTTTAAAATCGAAACCAATCCCAGGCGTCCTACATGAATAATTTGATACATTAATGATAAGGTAGTTGGAAATCTTTGTTAAATCAGATAAAGTTGTACTTGTAAAATCCAGCAACAGAGAGTCCAACTCTGTCGAAATATGCCGCCGTGACCCAGTCCTCCCATCGTCCTTTGGGTTTAGCTGTTATGTATGGTTCGAGTCGTTCCATTATTTGATTGCAGGCATTCTACACGGGTTATCATGCATAATGCAAGTGGACTAAAATTAATATACAACATGTGCTAAAATTTTATACCAAAACTGCCATTCCATTCAAATCTGACCCCGCACTTGCAGCGGTGGGTGAAGTATTTGGTACTTTATCAGTAGAAGTTTCCATAATGTGTATTTTGTCGCTGGAGATTCGCATCGCTCTGCTCGCCACTTGGATCATTTTTGTATGAAGTCCTTGTCCCATTTCGGTCCCACCTACGAAATATCAGTAATTATCGATTTCACTAAATAGTTTAGAATTAACTGTTCGTAAACTATAATGCTTTTTATATGTATATCATTGGCCTTACCGTGGCTAATAAGTACCGAACCATCTCTGTATACCATTACCAGTGCCCCAGCTTGATTCAAAAAGCTGTCAATTTATTAAAAAAAACTTAAGGACTATTTTGATTAGGCGAATTACACAAGTTTGGCCCATATTCAGTCCATTTGTGTCAATAATATTTATGTGTTCGTCTTAAATCATAGTTTATCTAGTTATTCAATAAAGTTACTTAAACTCACAGTGCGGTGAAAGCAATTCCAAATTTTGTAGGAATTAAGGAGATTCCTCGCTTTTTCCAACGATTTTCTGCATTGAATGCATCGACCTCTTGTCGCCTTTTGGCAAACTCTGAGTTGGCTTTGCATTCTGACCAGCATCTTGGAATGGTGCAATATTCTAAGGGTTGGTTGTAATGCGTTTCGTCCCCTTCTTTATACATGTTGATTTCTCGAAGCTAAGAACAGATTATTTTTTAGACAGATTTGTACGGAAAGTAATGACCAATTAGGTCAGTCAGTTAGATATATTAACCTGGATGGGATCAATATTTAACTTGTCCGCAATTTGATCAAATACATTTTCCGTGAACATCATTCCTTGTGGACCACCAAATCCACGAAATGCGGTATTTGATGGTAAATTGGTTTTGCAGACGTATCCAGTAAAGTCAACGTTTGGAATATTGTAAGCATTGTCAGCACTTCAAGGATAAGCGAATGAAAAGTGTACATTTGTGAGATATCAAGTACAACAATGTATGCAATCAGCAACTGTATGGGTACCTGAATAATGCCCTTTCCATTACCGAACAGGACAAGTCCAAAGAGTTGCCTCCGTTGTTGTACAAAGTCATTTTCAACGCCATGACACGTCCATCATTCTTTACCCCGACTTTAAACCTGCAAAAAAATGGGTGCCTTGTACCGCTGCAACCCATGTCCTCATCCCGATCAAACATGCAGCGGACTGGACGTTTTAGTCTGAAATTAATTCATCATTCAGGCATTTTTCTTGGATTGTAGAAATAATAACTTAATCATGACATTACTTATTTGCTGCGAGAGCGACAGGAATTGCGAGCATCATTGACCTCGTCTCTTTCCCTCCAAATCCACCCCCCATTCGCTTTGTCCGAACGACTATTCTGTTAGCTGGGACTCCCAGCGCTTCAGCCGTCAAGAGCTGAATCTCGGTGGGGTTCTGAGTAGAGCAAAATACTGCCCAAAGTGGGTCAAATTTATAGTTATCATGAGTGAATTTCCAGTTTCATCATAGAGTAATTTAGAATCTAAATTTTGGATAACAAGCCTAATAACGTACTTTCTGTCTCTCCGTCCTCCAGTTTTGGGAGAGCAATTGTCGCTTGAGTTTCCAAATAAAAGTGCTCTTGACCTCTACACAAAACGTAAAATGTCAGTATTTTACTTTGTCCCAGAGAACTCGGTTGTTATCATTAATGTTATTACCCGAGATGCATGTCGCCTTCCAGAATGTGGTCAGATTCCGAAAATCCTTTTTCAATATTTCCATTCTTTATATTTCGAATCCAATCCTGATAAAATGAGTTGTGCTTGATGGCATCTTGAATGGTGATGATGAGTGGTTTGATATCTTGGTACTCCGCTTTCACCATTTTTGATGCCCTCTGTGCAGTGGCTTGGTCATGCGCCAGAATTGCGCCTATTGGCTGCCCAATGCAAGTTACAGTTTTACTGGCAAATATTTCCTGGAAATAATTACGGGAAACTTGATCAAGATATCCTACTAAAAGCGAAATTAATGTACAACACTGTATACCTCATCGTGAATTATTGCACCCATTTTGTTTCGTTCTTTTGGAATGTCCTGGAATTTTAAGAGTTGTGTTATTTACCTGGCAAAGTTTAACTGGACGATATTCATGTACATTTGTGTCAATTGACTACAACTCATCATACGCACCTTTGCTGAAATAAAGTCCACTACGCCTTCTTGCTGCAATGCTTCGGTTGCATCAACAGATATTAATTTTGCATGAGCTCTGCTACTAAAAACCAATGCGAGATACAGCTCATTTTCAAATTTTGGCATGTCGTCCACATAAATAGCTTCACCTATAAACAACGAGCGTAAATAATTTCCCAATGGCAATTTTGTAGGACTGCTTTTAAAGAATTATTTACCAGTTGCCTGCTTCATCCCGGACATGTGAGGTATGGGTTTACCAACGAGATCATGGTCCGGCTGGCCTGATGGAACAATCTGCGAGATTTGCGAGCTTTTTGGAACTCCTCTGTGATAAACTTGTATAGCGCTCTTGAAATTTGATGGCAAAGGTTTTACATAGGACAACCTTTGATTCAGCTTCTCTTGAACAATCATGTAAAACCTGTGTATCAAATTGCGCACTTCAGTATTATGCTTTTGGTCGTGGCTGAAACATTGGTAAATGAAAAACGTATTGTTTATACATACTTGAAAAAGAAACTGAGCGTTAGAGACCGTCGGAATTCCTGTATATTAAAACAAAAGATTTAGATTACTTTCATTTCATATTATTTTTCATATTTAGATTTAGATTACGATCATTCCTCCTGGTGCTAAAAGTAACAAGAATAAATCAATATGAGAAATACGTTATGATAACACAAATTTCGCAATAAAAATCTACCGCTGGGATCCAGAGGAAGATCTTCGATCAAAGTCTTAGCTGCTTCTTGTACTATGTGTTGATTCCACTGACGCTTGACCAGCAAAAGACAACATTTAAAAAAATCGCACGGAACACGGGCACACATCTACTCTAATAAAGTGTTAGTATGATCCCTGGGTCCCTGGGTCCGTCTTCGCAATGCAAATTGCCCCATACAGTAGACAAAGAAGGAAGCGGAGCAACCACTGCATGCATGCACTGCACTGCATGAATAAATGAATACATGAACATGTACACCCCACATACATACATCACTCATCAATAGTGGTTATCATGATAAGTGATCGTGATAAACACTATTAATTAATTATTTTAGTTTGAGAAACTCTACCCACAGCGAGTGGCATGTCAATTCGAATGTATTTTTGACGCTGAATCCAACGCCGTCAATGGTTTTGACCTGCGAGGCCCCCGTGACCTCGCCGTGACCGTGGTGTCCAAATCTGGCTTATTCGTGATGTCGCATATCAATTCGAATGTATTTTTGACGCTGAATCCGAATCCGTCAATAGCTTGGCGTTAATTGTAGAAGTTAACGGGGTTTATGGAACTTAACGGGAGCGTGAAGCGTGGGAATTTAAATAGTTAGCTATGCAGTTACTCCCACGCGACGGGAATTTAAGTAATTAGCTATTCAACTACTCCCACAGGGGGGAATCAAATTTTACTGTGACCAGGTTAATTAAAATGCAGTATGACTTGGGCAAACCCTCAGTCTGATGTATGTATGTAGTATGACAAAGTCTCCACTGGGAATTATTTAAAATATAGTATGACGGATTTTTCGCTTTGGGCACACCCCCCACTGGAACTCTAGAACCCGGCCTTGGCCGGGCTATACGCTAGTAAAATAAATAAAATGTTTCCGGCTCAGGAAGGCAAGGGGCAAGGGGAAGAGCTCGCATGGGCAAGAAAAGAATAGTGGGAAAGTTGAAACTAATGTTTGTGTTCCACAACGATTTTGTGGATTAGTAGGATAAACTTTGTCCTATTAAATTTAAATTCAAAATGGTTAGTGAGAGGTTAAATTTAGATAGTGTTGGACACAATGAAGTGTTCTACCTCGACCCACAAAGTAACCTCATTACAACTCGGACAGCTGAGGCCCTCAAGAGTAATTTTATTTCACATCTTAATTTGTTTCCCCAACATAATAATAAACATTTTATTTTCAGGTGATGTGTATGAAATTCACAGACTGTTTTTACAGTATTGGTCAGACAGTACGAAAGTGATTAGAGATTTTACTCTGGGCTATTCCTCCCTAACTAGTGCGAAGGAAATTAATAAGTCTGTAAGGAATAATCAGAACAGAAGGAAATCTTTGCATACGCCGGGTTCGAAAGACACTGGGTGTTCTTACGAGTAAGTATAGTGTAAACATTCATATATTTGTATTTACTACCTTACAATTTGAATAAAAAATCTGAAACAACATTGGTGACACAAATAGGGATGACATGACGCCGGGATGCACAGCGCTGAAGGAAAATCTCGTTTGTCTTGTAATTTTTGCGTCTGACGCATATACTGGATTACAATTGAGGCACCGAGCACGTCGACTTAAAAAGGATGACAAAGGGTCTATTCGTCCTGAAAATGGGGAAAGGTTCCTAGCTGAAAACGGAACACGCAATAAGCTAGATGAGATGTTAATGTAATACTTGTTTAATTCATTATAATCTTTGCACTTGATATTCGATTTAACAAAATTAAATTTGTTAACACAGGTCGGTAATCAATCAGGCCAGGAAAAGAGTCGTTAGTGTTGATACCGTGGCATTGCCATTGCCAACGATTAAGACTAAGGCGAAGGGTATGGCACCATATGTTGCGAAATCGACACGACCAAAACTTTTCTGTGATTTCGAAGGGTGTGAATACGTGACGATTGACAGATCAAAACTGGACAGGCAATATTTTTTCTAAGTAATAACAAAGTTTAAAACTTAAAAGTTTGTAAAGCTTAAAATTTCGGTACTTGTTTTGCAGCCACAAAAATGTGCATACAGGTTTGAAACCTTTTACATGTTGCTGGTGCGGACACAAGTTTTTAACAAGTTCTAATCTCAAGACACATGTTAACAAAGGATGTGCTGATAGGAGAACAACTATGAAGAGAACCCCAATCAAAATAGTAAATGCTATGAGGTTGTTATAAATAAAATCAAAATAGACATTGGCAGTCTTACATAATATGAACAATTTTGTAGATTGGCAGTTGGACAGCTCAAAAGTGGAAAGGAGGAATCAAAACATGACAACGTCTCAGAAAATGAGACCGTAACTACCAGTCCTCGAGATGAAACTATAACTGCACCTCAAGTGATGACAAAGCGTCGAGCACTACTCCCAATACAAGCAAAACCATTAAAACAGTCTAAACTGGATTTTACCGTCGTTAAGAAAACTTAGGCTAAGTAAATCGCTGACAACTCGGATATCTAACTGACCAACTAACAATACTGGACTAGACTACTATTTAAAATGTTTAAATAGTATCAAATAATTAGCCGGTACTTTGTTTACCGATGCGTATTAGCTATTATATACTATTTCTAGTTTAATCAAAACAAAGTAAATCTGATGACTACATATTTGTCTTTATTGTTTTTTTATTTCTATATATCTAGCTATTGTCTTATATTTAGGCTTTTTGTGCGTATGTTCGTGCAGAGAAGAGGAGCGCATGAACTAGCCGAGTAAACCTATTTATTTCTAGAAATGTAGGACAAGGGTCAAAAAGGGAATACCTTAACCAGAGATGATTGCGTCGTTCTCGCCATCACAGTCGTCGGAGCTAGAAGTAGAAAGGCGATAACAATGTTGAACAATTCAAAACGTCGTTAAGGAAAAAAATACATTGCAAATTGTACACGTACCCATCCCACCGAACGCTAACGAAATCTTTTGAATCGTATTAGTCTCCACTTCAAATCGGACAAACATGCCGGCATTGACGATGGCAATATCGTCATCCCTGCGCTTTGCTTGTTTGAAACCCCAAAAGTATTCGTCCTGCCATTGCATATATTATTTTATACACAAAAATGAAGCGAAATTATGTTTAATATAAATATGTATACGTACTTCTTTTAGGTATGGTATTAAAATGCTCTGTAAAATTTCCTCCGACTTGCAAATGTTTTTCCGATATCCAGTAAAGAATGTGTCATCCATCGTAACAACTCTGTGATCATCTAAATTTCAAAGTTTTAATAGAGTAATTAACTAATGCGCAGCTGCTATGTACATTTAGCATAGCCGAGACTACCTTTGCTTTTAAGCTCTAGCTCACAACCAGCAGCCATGAATAAGGGGTTGAGGTCAGATATAGGGCTCCCTGTCATAATATTCCCTCCAATAGCAGCAACGTTTCGAATTTGCTTCCCTGTAAAAAAGTTTGCTTTTATATTATGGGGATAAGAAATATTTAGACAAGTGCATTGATTGACATTTTCACCTGCAAACCATCGAAGCATTTCCACAATGGCTGAAAACACCCGAGTTTTGTATTCCGGCTGTGTAGCAATCTGTTCTCGAAGGACAGTCTCCATGTCTGAAAGTGTTACTGCACTCCCGAACCGAACCCCTTTGCTCTCGAGTTTGACATCAACTAACTCTGGGACTCGTGTGGGTTGAATGATGACGGGGTACAAACAATTCTTGAATTTCACCTCCACACCTGTATACATCGGTAAAAAGGTCATGAAAAGAAATGCCTTTTTAAGACTAGTCGTCTAGTCAAAAATTACCGATTTCTGTATTCCCCACAACAATTTTTGCATACGGATATTTTGCCTTTAGCTGTAAATTATGTTAAATCAAGGTATGTTTATCATGTACAAAAATCGGAATATTGTTATCTTGAGATGGCGTTACCTCAAGCAGTTGTCCCAAACTGGTTGGCCTGTACCATGTAACTCGCTCCCCATTGAATACGAGGTATTGATCATCGTAGTCAGATGTTAGCTGCGCCATGTGGAAATTAGAGTTATAATTCAATTTGCTGTATCAGGTACTTGTTGAATTAGGACAAAATGTACCTGCAACTCTGGCGGAAAGATGAATTCCGTCGAGGGATCGTACTTTTTGAAAGTATTTGGATTGAAAAGTCCATACTCTTCTTCTGCATCTCCTCCATTGGTGCAAGTCCCATTTTCTTTAGTGCCGTTTTGCATGCAACAACCACCGTTTTGCAATTTTCCGCAACACCCACCTGCAGCACCTTCTTTGGTCAAGGTTTTGTATCCCTCCAGAATTGGTCGATACCCGGTACAACTATAAATATTGGAGGCTCATAAAATCAAGGAAAAAATATAACTGGCTGGTCGTAAACATCTCACCGGCATAAATTCCCCTGAAAAGCGACTTCCACTTCATGCATGGATGGCAAAGAATTGTTCCGCATCAGAGTGTACATGGACATTACGATTCCGGGGGTGCCTTCATTTTCAATACTTTTATTAATATCCATTGTTTGGTCATTTTGACTCGATAAACGAATAAATTAGTTTCATTACAAAATCCGCATTGACTGCCGTGGCTCTTTGCAATTCTTTCCTAGATTCATTTGGTAATCTATGGTTAGTTAATTGAGACAACTTCAGGGGTTAAACAAGGTCAACACACCTGAACAGGATGAAGTCCATTCGCCACATTTCCAATGCCTTCGACAGTGATTACTGCTGATCCATGCACCGAACATATCGGAGTTAGGCACGCATTCACGGCAAAGTTGCTATAAATTATTATTTTACTTAGGTAATAATTCACGCTTAAATGTAAAATATACTTCACAAGCATACACAATTTTCTTTGTATCTCTGTCAAACCGAGACAGCATGACGGTACAGGCCCCACAGCCTGTTAAGGGAAACGAATTATTATAACACTGTTGTTATTAATGTTATTACATAATTGTATCATTTTAAATCATAATTTAATTGAACGCAAACCTCCTTCGCCGCATCCCAACTTCGATCCCGTCAACCGTACTAAAATTGAAGTCACAATATTTCGATTACTATGAGATGAAAAACTCGATTAGTAAAAATAAACTCACGTTTATTCCTCAAATATGTCAACAGCGTCCATTCAGGATTGACATTTTCATCCACAATCTAAAATTCCATGTATCCATTACAAGCATTAACATTTAAATTATGTGATTACTCATTTAAATTCTTGATCTGCATATGTAGTCTGCATTGCATGATGGTGTCAAATATTCGTAATAATTCGTACAAATTCGACATTTGCTATTTGTTAACCATGTATAATTTTGTGAATATTTTGCTACCTCATGAAAAGTACTAAGCTGAACTGCATAAATTCATAATATGTTGCAATAGTTAAATTATTATTGCAAGTACAAATGTGGAGTTTAACTTTGCCAACTCACAGTAAATTAAAAAACATCACTACTCAATTATTATTGCACAGTTTGTGGCAATGATAGAGTTGGGTTTAACCTTGACTTGTTTACGAAGGATGTCATGCATTGCATTTAGCATTTGAGATATTGAAAATTGAAATGTTAAATGAATCCAAGATTTTTTTAATTGAGCAAAACCAAGTGAATCCGTACCTTTTGTCCATTTACGTAGAAGATGAGGGACGATGTCTTCTTGGGAATCATTGTCTACAAAGTATTTGTATGCAGGATGAAATCCAAACCAAGATGTTGAACACCGGAGAATATTGTAGAGCGGTGTATGTATCTGCGTATTACAGTGTTTTTCGTGTATGCACCGACCCACTGACACACTGATGGATTATCTAATTGTGTGCATGTATTTATCTATTAGTATGTCTAATCACTGAAAATTTCAGTATTTCTTCAAGTCGTTGTGTGCTAATTAAACGCTGACTGCATACTGAAAGGTTCATGGAGAACCGAAATGTATTAACCAGGTTGATCAGTTATACAAATGTGACACGCAGTGGAATATTATTATTACGTACATGCTCCACTCCACAGACTTAATTTAACATCTTTCAGCAGTACATAATAATCGTCATCATATCACTGCAGACAATCCTTCTTTTCTGGATAATCTCCTCAATTGCCTCCATCAGTGTCATCCACAAATCGTGCATGCATGGAGATCGTCTGGGTTTGAGTGCTCTGTATCACACTATGCACATATTCGAAGCCGTTATTTGCTGGTTTACTATACATCCCAGTGACAACATATTATTCACCAACCCATGTTAACCAATCCGATTTTATGCAAATTAATTAAAATCAACTGATGCTGCCAGATGTCGAATAATGAGGTGTTTTACGCAATAATGCTTATCCCATGAGGAGCTGCATGCGAAACAGTGAGACTTTGATAACTCACTTAAACGTGGTTGTAACATAAATTTAATAAGTATGCATGTATAAACCATAGACGTGTACATATATAATGTAAACTGTGGTATAAGTATGCAAATGTACATAATGTCACATGATTCGACACAATCACTTTCTCAATATTGCACTCTGGCCTTACGATTAGTCATATTTATCAAAGTAAAATATTAAGTAAAATATTAAAATATGAAATTTTTTATATTTAAAACTACGATGCATTTTACAAATAGTGAATTGCCAACAAATTATTTAGTAACTTTGTTACAAGTATATGTATAAGTTCGTGTAAGCAATTGTTATGTAATCAACATTAAAGTCCAGTAACTTTAAATATTAAGACGATTTTTATTTCACGATAAGAGAAGGGAAGTGGTCTGTCTGCAGACCAATCACACAAACCATAACGGAGGGCGTGTATGTACATATAACGTATATGGAGAATTCTACAGTACAATATTAGTATTACACACTAAATGTATGTGTGCTACTCTCACTTTTAAGTACGATGCTGGTCAAGTTATTGATATACTTTAGTAAATTATTACAGTGTGGACATGTATAAAAAAGTAAATTGAATAGTACGAAATAAATTGTGAAAACATTATGAACGTTTTCTACTCAATTAAAATTTTTTAGGCACGGCACCGAGCTGATACTCTGAGGTCACTGGGTTGTTAAATGCATACTCGGAATCCTTGTTGTTGTTGATGGGGGCAGCAGATTGTAATCGCCTAGACAAATTTGCATACAAAATCTCAACACTCGCTCTTAATTGACTAATTTACATGTGAAAGTATTAATGCTCTGTTTGTTTAATACCTGTGGACTTCCTCTCCTGTGTATGCGGAGAATTTACGAGCTGAAATTACAAAAAAAAATTTAGTCTTGTTTGCTATTAAAAATTCGTACTTAAATTAAAAATGCACACCTTTTAATTCATCAGCAATTCGCCTATTTTCTTCCACTTCCACAATTTTTTTGCTGAGCCTATGCACATACAAACCCAATTTTAAATTAAACTGAAAATTGTCACCGTCTAAAAATAAGTTTGGTTACCTGAAAGCAACCACAGTCATTATCACGATGGAAAGCAATAAAATCAAACAAACTCCGCCAAGTACGCCAGCGACTATGTAAATATGGTCTTGGAATTTGTCGTTGTCCTGAAATTGCGCAAATTAAATGTCACCTCAAGTTAGTTTTAAGATTATGTGTGTACGATTTGATTACCTCTCTTAGGGCAAAAATTTCTCTAGCAAGTATTTCTACTGCAGTGGAATTTGTGGTCATTTTGGTATTTTTTAAGTAACGGGTTCACCGATTTATTGTGCTATTATATTTTTTAAAGGTATATTAAACAACTCTTTAAATACCCTTTGATACAATGTAAGGAACGGTAGGAGTCTGTGACCACCTGATTGAATCTGTATTTTATTCTACGCTTTTTACTAACAATGACTCAAACTTTGTAAAATCAAATGAGTACAAGCCTATTATTGACGTTCCACATTCCAAGTGTATCTCATACTAAATACTTAATCATCCACCTAAACTTTATTGAACAGAGATATCGAGTAGTACAATGGTGGCCAAAATTACCTCATGGAAGTGAATAATGGCGTTAAATGTTTTGCACATGTCATTGGAATCTGGGTATGCCGACAGCATTTGTGAGTCCTTCTCTCCGTGCGTGATAACACCCCGAGATTTTATCTTATCAGTCATGTTATAATTGTGAAACCCGTCCTCACTGGCTTATGCCTAATTGGATGAGGCATGAAAATCTATAACGAGCGATGAGGCATGTATCTATATTTCTCTGCTTTCGGTTTAATCCGTATTGCGTAAAATTGTCCATTATTATTACTGTAATATATGTTTGCATTGTACTTAGCTAAATATATTTATAAAGATAAAGGAATTGCCAAAGTCGAAAGAATGTGCGTGGGTGATAATTATGACTCAATCAGTAATACTCAAAGATAATGAATCAACTTAGGACAAATTTAGGAATACCATTTATTACGTGGCTATAAGTATGCATACCTGTATTTTTCAATCTGTACACTCGGACAACTTACATATTTATATGAATAACTTACAGCTTTTATGTGTAGAAAAAAGGCACTTTACACTTGTCAGTATATGAAAATTCAAGGGAAATATATGTAGTTTTCAATATATAAGTAAAATTGAAAGTTATAGCTTCATGTACTTGTCGTTCAAATTGTAAAATTTGAAAAGTGTGAGGTTAGGTAAAGAACATTTTAAAAAGGTTCTATTATTACAGGTTCATTTAATAATAATAATTTGTTCGATTTGTTCCCATTCATCAAAAGATTGAAAGTTTTATAAACAAAAATCCACTTGTTTGCATTTAACTAATAATATTTTTCATTGGGCGAGTTGTTTCGAAATGTGGGTGGATTTCGTGGCAGGACACGAACCCCTCCTGCCGTAGCGTTGTCAAATGTTGCTCCACCTCCAGCAGAATAGGGTTGCGGTGATGGTGCAAAAGCAGGACTGAATTGTTTGAATTTTAAAAAATTAATAAATTTTAGAGGAACAAACTATATTATTCAGTTTAACTTAATAAATGTTGCACATCAGACATACTTCATCGATTCTGTTGGGCGACCAGTGTACGTGCTAAATCCTCGTTTTTGTAACACGTCTCCATCGTACAATTGGTTAAACCCACTATATTAATAAAAATTGGATAAGCTTTTAAATGGCCGGGAAATTAAATTATTTTTCAAACTTACTTGTTGAGTTTAACGAAAAGCATTGTGATAAATATGAGTAAAACCAAACAGACGCCGCCCAGGACTCCTGCCGTGATGTATAAATTGGTTGCGAGATCGTTTTGTTTCTAAACGAGATTCAAACACCAAATTAATTTACAGAAACCTTTTTTGCTTCTCATATGTGATTCATAGTGTTTTAATTCTTACTTCTTCCAACTTGACGAATTCTTCACAGAAAGTTCTGAAAATGTCAGTCTCGTGAAATGCAGCACATTCTCCCAGGGAAATTTTCGCGATTATACTTTCTGCTTCCATTGTTATTATTCTTAAGTTTCAACAAACAAATCAACTATTGTTACGAAAAAAAGTCCGGTATGAATAGCATACGATGCTCGATTATATTTATGTAGTCTCACTTGTTGGTAGATGACTAAAGCCTAAAATTAATCATGTATCTATTGGTTGTTGATTTCAGGTCTGAAATATCAGCAATATCGAATATTTTAAGATAAAATAATTAATATTGTCACCATTCTGTCTGCAATTGACTAACACTACACACGGTGGCACTAAAGAGAATATTTTCATTGAGCTTGAGTCATACAAAGAACAGCGATTCTCAGATATTGTCCATCCGAATGATGGATGGACAATATATGTATGCATGCAGAATGTAAATATGCATGTAGGTTATGTTATATGCACATACGTAGATATGTCCAAAGAATTCAGTCATAGGCTATGCATACGTACTTATCAACTTGTAGCCGTGACGGGATAACCTAGTCATCCTACAAACTCTACAAATATTCAATTATGTTCATTGTTATCTTTGCCTTATCAGGATTTACGTATAAATGGTATGTACATAAATGATATGTGCATATCTGGCTTGGTTGGTAAGCTACAACTCCAGTCATTTGATTTCTATTGCCACATCTTAGGATTAGCTCACCACTTTTGAGTGATAGCCATCAATAGAGTAATATTTTTCTTCCTACTACACAGAATACATAATTCATTGATACAGAATTTATTTGCAGCCTGATTTGCATATGTCAATACGTTTTGAATTTTGCATTTCTATAATCATCATTTTGTGAATAATATATGTATGTATTTCACATTCAGGAGGGACAGATACAGGACATCAAACTAAATCTCCATAAATTGATTTTTGTATGATGCATATGGTCGAAGCTTATACCGTGAGAATTTCAGACATTACAGGTTTCGTGATCTTTAACGTTGCTTTTTCAATTTAACTGTTGAACACCATAGATGTTCATACAAAGTTATGAATCCATATATTTGAATCAATACGTATATGGCGAATTTTGGGAGTGAGGGTATATTTATATAATAAAGTATGGGAAGGAGACTCACTAATTTGTAGTATGTAATAAAAATTAAGGGTCAAATCAAAATTAATTAATTAGTTAAGTAATTTGGGTTACATACTACAAAATAGCGAGTCTCCTTCCCAGCATTATTTTTTCTTGCCACTATCTACATATGTACATATATCTAATAATAAAATGCATTCACATATGTAGAAATCGTGTTAATCTTAGGCTACGATTCTTCAATCTTCTTGTGCAAAGAGGGTCCAACTTGTAGAACAATGATAAAATAGGTAAAAACAGCACCAAGTACCTATCAAATGGAAAATCATATACTTGTGGAATGTCTGTATGCTTGCGCATAATGAGAGTGAGAGATTATAAAAGATTTGTCGAATACCGTAACAATGAATGGTCTGTCAACAGAAAAGTACTTGCCACCGGAAAGGACTATTTTTTGAGTAAATATTATCTGCATATTTGCCATCTATAGACAAACATACATTGTGTTACCAATTAAAATTGTAACTTTGTCAGGGTTATACCAAATATTTTCTGTGAATGCTTTGATTTTGAGAAATTCCGGTACGACGCAGTATCTCAAGTCCCCTCATTGCCTCTTCATTCACGTTCTACATAAATATGTTTATCACTTATTTCCTACTTATAGATGTTAATTAGATACATATTAATTGCTATTACCGCAGCATCCAGTGAAACAGTGAAAAAAATGTAAATATTTTGAACCAAGACAATCAGAGCTGCTAAGATTTCCAGAGGAGTTTTGTTATATGTTCCTGATCTTGCAAGATAATACAACTCAAAGCACATGTTGAGGAGCTGCAAGTTTTGTATGAAATTTATGTAGGACAAATTTTGACTTTATGTTGTTCAGAATATGCTAATACCTGACTTCCGTAGTAGGATTGCAAAACCATTCCAAATACCTGGTCAGTCAATCGAACAAGTTTCAGTAGGACTCTGTAGTCTTCGAAAGCCTTCTCGCATCTCAACTTTTCATCTGTGTAGGCTGCATTGATTACAAAATTATATAGCCGAAAACATTCAAATTATTGCATTATTAATTAAAAATATATTCTGGGTCTACATTATTTTTCCTTTCACACAGATATTGTTATACATAGTCGGACCAGGTATTCCCGTACAAGCATTTCTGGATGATAAATCCCAAAGTATTAGTGCTATCTATTCGAAATTTTTACGGATGAACAAGGTATTAATATTGGTTAGAAATCATATCTTCTTTTTCAAAATTTCCTCCACGGGCTTATACAGCAGACATAAGTCGTGACGAAAACTACTCGATCGTGGTACGCGCCATTTTTTTGGGAAAAGTATTTCAGACTTTCCACCGTCAGAGAAAAATTTAATAGAAAAAATGGCCAGATATTTACCATACGGAAGTCTGACATCCCATTAAGTATGCGGAAGTCAATATGAAGTCGCCACCATGGTGTGAATGCGAACAAGTTGGCTGGAAAAAGCAAATCTCTGGTTTTTACCGCAAAGAGTAGCAGTTGAAGCCAAGAAATATTTTTGGAGTGTCCTGGAGCCAATTGCTAAACCCCTGAACACTGACCCCTCGGGAAATCAACATTGGACCTTTCAGCAAGACTCTGTTCCTGCTCACGGTGCAAAATTGTCCAAAAAACCGCCTTGGACGAATTTTCATGACTTTATTTCATCACAAGAACGGTCCTCAGCACCTGCAGACCTTTATCCCCTAAATTATGACTGGTGGTCAAAATTATAGATGCAAGTATGTTCTAAATCTCACACAAGTGTGGAAGTCCACAGGTCACACCAACAGAAGATCTGGTCGCTTTTCCCATGAAAATCGTGCGTGCCGCGAACGTGCAGTTTTCGTCACGACTTATGCCTTCTGTACACGCCCGTGGAGGAAATCTTGAAAAAGAAGTTATGATTTCTAAACAATATTAGTGCCTTGTTAATCCGTAAAAATTTCGAACAGATAGCACTAATACTTTGAGATTTATCACTAGAAATGCTTGTACGGGAATACCTGGTCCGACTATGTATATGTACATACTTGCTGTGGGCGAGGATCTGATAAGCATTTTCAGTCTCTTATTCCAAATCTTGAAAGCATGCCTTAACAATTTGCTTTTGAAGGAGAAGAGGAGAAGGAATGCTCTTGATGCATACACGGAATAAAGTATGACCACCATTCCGAAAATACGAATCTTAAACAAGCCTTGTGTGCTGTCAAACAAGAAAATGACAGGACGGACGGTCAAAATTCCAACGAGGACGGAACCTCCTCTAATCAAGTTGAGACATCTGCATTGAATTTTGCAATTTTTTAAATACACTTGATACTCCAAAAAGTTTATAAAGTTTTAAAAACTCACAAGATTCTATATGCTATGAAAATAATGATGAGGAATGATAAGAAAAATGCATGGTTCATCAAAACATATCGTTTGATCCCTTTTGGAACATCAATGTCCATCGAGTCAATAGCAAAATTCCAGTAGTTTAAGAACTTGGCCACCGTTTTTCTTTTAATGATAAAGGAAATGCTGGAAATTGAGGAATGCAAGAGGCAACTCCAGACCAAAACGAATGGAACTAAATTTGATTCAAAATTTCTCTTTTCTTCCTCATCCCACGAGCTCACGGCGAATAGACGCCAGTCGAGAAAAAAGTCGCAAAACCCAAGGACGGAAAAGAGGAGAACGGTCGAAAGAAAAAGTGTTGTCAGGATGAAATACATCCAAAAGACCACACCAGATTTGAGAGAACCCGTGTAGAGATCGTACACGGGAATTGTTGGGCTAATAGTTGGATCTGACGGAAGTGGTTGCCCAAATCTAGAACCAGCAGCGGCTCTTTGTTCGATCCAAGCCAAGTCAGGTTCAATTATTTGGGAAAGTGGACTTGTTCTACTACTACTACTAATACTACTGATCGTCGTCACATCCTGAGGTTGAGGTTGGAATGGCCAACGACCCAAAAGTGTTAAAATTATCCGTAGAGGCCGAAATAACCTGGTGATTCGACCAGAGTTGGGAACATTTTCCTTTGCGGATGGTTTGATCAAATTAAAATTAAGTGCAGAAAAAAACGATTTGTTTCTAGCCTGGTTAAAACTATTCTGCTGGTGAATGATGTCCAGCTCCTCGGGGTAGAACGTGTAGCCTGCCATTTGTGGTGTGGTTGAAATTCTTCATAGGCTTGTTCTTTTATGACTCCTTGTTATCACACGCGCTGCTAAATCCATCATTCCAGCCTTAATTGCACAGTGTGAATACACAGTTTTTAGACCGAGTAAGGGCTTATGTACCCGCCTTGTCTTTTCTGCTAGCGAACGAACGACAGAACCAAGTTTGACCAACCTGTTCTTAAAATGCATATCTTGACAAGGCCTTGGACGAGTTCAAGGATAAGAATAGTTGAGATATTATTTACCGGTAAATACCAAAAAATTCGATATATTATCGTACGAGAAACCTGAAATTTTTCATGAGGGTTCAGGTGCATATCAGACTACTTCAAGAAAGTTTGCATGCAGGACATTTAGAAAAATTGATCCACAATAACCATGCCACTTCTCTAAAATATTTATTGGTGGGGTGCTCGAAAGTGACCCTCACTGGGTTTCAAAAGAAAACAGGAAAAAGGGAAACGACGGGCTCGGGCTGCATGCAGTCTTATTTGTCAGACTGATGATTTTGATTGACGAGCTCAAAGGAGGTCCGGCCCACACATCGGAACTTTAATGAGGTGAAAGTTCAATTAATATTCTCTGGAACATAGAATACAGAATATTCGTTTAGTGATGAATAGCACTAAGGAAGTCGAGGTTATATGCATGCATGCATTTTATGATTTTATCCTGTCGTCGTGTCAACAATGCTAATTAACTTTCTTTGACAGCTAGTTTGACGTCGCAAATATAGAACAAAGAAGAAGACAATAAATAGTTAAGAAACAAAATTATCGGTTATATGTACTTTGGATTCTTTATTATTTTCAGCATTGTAGTCAGATATTACCATCAATATTGATTTGGGTCTTAATTAGCCATCTAATTTATGTACTCATCCGACACTTGCAGATAAGCTCTAACTTTACAGTTCAAAGTGTGTGTACTATGTTATCCCTTTATTGAAATGATCAAGAAACTATACAAAATGAAACTATGCTTGAACATATTATGAGAACCACATTTAAAAGTACAAGAATATCACTTGGCTTAAAGTTTTGTATATGATTTCCTTTGGAACTTGTGTTTTCGTTTAAATCAGGCAATAAAATATCTGTATATTTCCACCTAATTTCGAACTGTGGAGGCCTTAAGCTGACTCCAACTAATCTGAGGGGCCAAACGGAAAATATTAAAAAATCACTAGTTGAAAATCCAACAACTTAATAAAAGTTAGTACAAATTAAATGATTCTGTGGATTTACCTAATATGAGCCTCCATCATGTCTTCAGGAACTTTAACTTCCTGTCTTCCGGACCGTGGACAAAACATCCCGATTACATTTCTATAGTCTTCCTTGGCAGATTCCTCGTTTCCGGCCCAGAGAGTCAGATTCCATACATTGCAGTCTTTTTCTGTAAACGCGAGATTAAATTGTTGAATTAAATTATTTCTGAAGAAGCGTGAAATCAATATCATTGGGAAGCCAACTATACTTAATTTTACATTTGTAATAATCATAATTGATTTCACTGGAATTGCAGAGCGTTTAAAGATAGAGCATGATTAAGGAACTACGTGTATACATACCGTTTTCTTCAGAGACAAAGTCAATAGTGAGATTATATCGTTGAGGAATTGTGACGACCCAGGTGCAGTGAAAGTACGTGTATTGCTGAAATTCCCTAGAAGGCTGGAAGAATGATGTGACACCCGGGCCCAAGGCTTCCCTCCAGCGTTTCGAACCTATTATAATGCAATAGAACACTCATTTAAATATCGTATATATTTATAATCAGTCGCGACTGATAAAACTAATTCGGTTGATAAACTGCTCAAAGCCAAATTTATCAACGAATCGTCTCATTGAATTCCAGAGTTTGGGATTAGAAAGCTTAAGAATTTCAACCCAGACACTCTGGATATATTTATACTTTAAAGATGTGGTTGTGAGTAAATCGTGCCTTTTGGCTATCTTACCGGATGGAGGTGAGATGGAAAAATTGGCGCAAAGGATTTTCCTTCTAAATGTGAAAGAGGCCGCATAGCTGAAATCGGTCCCTACTTGCGTCGCATGATAGACAAGGGTGATGGCACTCTGAGATTCAAACGTCATTGGCAGGGCGTCCTAAATACACCCACATGAAGAGAACATTTGTCAACACCACGTGCAAGTCGGACACATACACATTTATGTATATACACAAGAAACTCGTTCCTATGCATATTTATCATATAATTCTGTGCAACTTGATGTCATGCATATCTAGAAGCACTTTGAAGTAAAAATTCAAGTCAAGCCAGTCAATTACACGCTATTAAGCCTGACAAACCCATGAGGTTAGTTGTGACATTAATTTTGATGAAGTTCGTTTTGAGAGCTGGATATACAGCCAAAGGGATGTACATACATATCAAATCTACTCCACGATATGATGCAATTTGGTTTCAAGCTAATAGTCAGTCAGATGTGCAAATTTCACCCAGAAGTCAAAGTACAAAGGCGAAAATTAGTCACGGATGGCGTTTTGTCTACCCGACTGTGAGGAAATTGTAATCCGCTGGGATTAAGCTTACAGAGATGGATGGATATGTATGGGTGGCATTCTGAATGTTCATATCACTACCACTACATTATTCAAGCTGTGCCGTGGGACAAATGGGAATAAATTCATGCAGTGAAAGTCAAGCAAGTTCGCCCTCAGCATTATCAAGTCTATCTCCACATGCACACACACTACTTTCACCTTTGCAAAGAGACAGAGAAAGTCAGTCATATAAATGAACGTAGACTCAACACCTAGAGCAAATCCTGGCTAATGAATGAATTATAAAAGTTGACAAAGTTTGCAGAAGGCGGAGTGGTAGTTATAAAATGTATGCTCGTTCGTCAAGTATCTGCACCAAGAGAAATGTCTGTGGTTTCTACAAAGAATTTCGACAGAGAGCTTTTAAGGATACAAAGTATGTCCAAAGTTTGGCAGAAGCCCGCAAATATTTTGAATCATAACGAATTTTCCGAACCGCAACAATATGGTCGTGTCGTGTGGTCGAATTTACAGAATATTTAAATTTATTTATCTATGAGCAGCATAACATTTTGTACCAATTGAATATACATATATGTATTCTGGATACTTGAATTCATGCCAATTTACATGAAAAACTAAAGAAAGCAGAAGCCCAATCATAAAAATAGCTCATATAATTTTCAGCCTGAATTGAAGCATCATGTGAGTAATTGGATTGCAAATATGACTTTCAGGGGATCATTTTTCGAACAGTTGGAAGTACGTAATCTTGCAAAAATAAAGGACTGAAGTTGAGACTTTTAGAAAAATTCTGTATAAAAGATAAAAAAAAATGTCATCGAATTTAGAACCTTGTGTAACGAGGGCAGGTAGACTTTAAGCAGTCATTAAGATGCTAAGAGTGTGGCCCATTTATCAAAACAGGCACAAATCGGCCACTCTTTCTCTATTTCAACAAATGGGATGAATAGCATGTAATTACGCCAAAGTCTGAATTCACTGGAGTCTTATTGGCTTCTCGGCGATGAAAGGAGAGCCTTTTGTGGGCGTCATTGTGAAAGACACTTTTCCTCCAAGCATGATGCAATCCTGCATGACATAATGTATAGAATGGCTTGCAGGGAAATTATAACGGTCTACGTGCTGCATATACACATAAATTTACATACGTGTCACATATGAACCGTTACTCTCTCGGGTTAAATTATATGTTGGAAATAGGCAGGAGGAGGAAGGAGGAAGTCATAAAACCCAGAGAATGGGACATAAATGAATGGACTAGGGGCGAAATTACATACTCACTAGAAAATACTTACCCAGGCAATCATAATATAATTCTAATAAGAATGCAAGAGTTGAAATTGAAAATATGTAAAAGATAACTCACTTCGCTAATATAGCCACAAAGACAGCTTATGGGTGTAGATCCTGCCAAAATTAAAAGATGGTCGATTTTCGTCAAAGCTGCATATTTAGAGTCACAAAGACATCCAGACGTTCCACAGAAGCTGCGACAATACACTTTGGACCCAGGAATGGCAGCCGACGATGTTTCCTGTCCGGCCCTCGTGAGAGTGAGCGACACAGTCTGGTTTCCTCCAGGAAGGAATGAATAGGTACAAACCAAGGGAAATGTGGATAAGCGAAAAAGTGGGGAATGAGGGGGGCCTAAAATTGAACCGGTGGGCGGACTTGTGGTGACGCCGTAATAAACCACCTCACAGCTAGACTTTGTCATTGGCTTCACAGTCCCTTCGATGGATTCTATGAAAACACACAAATGTCACTCACATGTAGAGATGCATATGTAGAACTTTGTGCAGTAATTATATTTATGTACAATGCGACAAATAAATATCTAGCGTGTCGTGGTATAGGTACAAATTTTCATACTCTACATCATAAATAAGAGGAATATCATGATACAAACTGAATTTTGTGGACTTGTATACCGTCATGAAACCGGAAAGCACCATCAATATATTCTGCTGCAACTGTGTCCTCAAAAGGAAGAACTAAGGTGACTAGAGCCATTCGACTGTGTGACGATGTAAATCGCTAGAAAGATAAACAAAAAATTAGTATCATCCTGCCCCAAGCCATTTGGGAAGAGAAAGTCAAGTCCAGTTCGTTTAAAGTTTGTCAGTCATCCAGCCGGTTTCTCTCACCCCCGTGCATAAAAATAATACTTTTGTAATAAAAAAGAAAGAGCGATGGATAACCCCGTAGATAATGATCAGGTAAGACTCAATCTATTTAAATGTTGTTGATGAGTAATAAAATGTTGGTTTTCATAGGAAAATTCAATTCCAATGAAACGTGTCAAGATTATTGTTGATGTGCCTGCAAATGGTCCCTTTAAAGTCGTCGCGCACAATGCGGAAGGGCAGTAAGTTGAACTGAATGGTGAGTTTTAAACTTATTGTGATTTACACCATGATGATAATAATGTGGTATTTTTTAGTTTTAGCAATTGAAGATGAGCCGACACCGTCACCATCATCAGAATCGAAAGGAGCTAAACCGGACTCTATCATCAAAGCCGTACTACAAGGGATGATGGAGAATAGTGGATACCAGGGCGAGATTACAACTTTTTGGGGATCGGACGAACAAAAACAATTAGTTAATGGTTGGACTAATCATGTCAAGAAATCAAAAACGGACATGGACAAATATACCCCCCTCCACGTATTTTACAACAAGAACAAGGTGGCGATGCAAACGGTTGGTGGTCTGTTGCAAGTGGTCAAGATGGAGAAAGTTGGAAACGATTGGAAGTTCAAGGGGTGGGCCGGACGAACACAAAAATGTAGCATCACTACTTGCATTACTGTTTGTCGGGTACTTATACATTGATAAATAAATATAATCAATCTTAGTTATGAAGAAGTAATACATGTTTGATTAATGTGTAGGTTGGAAAGTTTTGCGAGACTCATGCTCCGAGAGAAGTCCTGTTACTTCAGGACATGAGAACTACTCCCCCTATCCTGGCATTACTAGCTCCTTACGCCACAGCCACCCCTTACACTAATAGTGAGATAAGGCAGAAGTTGGATGAATGCGGAATTATGAAAAAATGGGGAGGAAAAGAAACTATTGGGGGGTCAGGAATACAAAATCAGAGCATCCAGCTCTATGACTATGTTGTAAAGAAGAGGAAGGATAAGGAGGAGACTTTTTTCCGTATAATTGGGCGCTGGCCGTATCAAAACGACAATAACAAAGTCCACGATTCTGCATTTGTGAGCATTTTACAAATAATTAATACAGTCGGTCAGTATTTAGAACTTATATCTGTGTAATTACAGTTGGCAGTCTCATTGTTGGTGATGATAAAGGGAGGTGCTTCTCTGCTCAACTCACGAATACTATTTCGTGCTGCTGACCTGCCCTGGGTGAGATCATTTTTAAACGAAAACTGGGTGACATTTAACAAAGGAGAAGAACTTGCCCACGTGTCGACCAATCCCCCAGGCGTGTCAGGAGAAATCAATCGTTCTCTCCCTTACGTCTATCTTGGACGTAATGATGAAGCAGAATTTTACACGGGTGTGCAAAACCAAATCAGTCTACTTGTGTCTGGGGCTAAATCCCCATACCATGATAAAATGAAGGCAGAAACTGGGATGAACCACTTTGAAGAGGATGAAGACATGCCTATTTTCCAAAGTCCTATCCCAACGTTGCTGGAAAATATCAAGAGTGTCACAAAACGGAGTAAATTCAGCCCAAAAGAAGAAGAAGAATTTCTCAAAATGGAAAAAGCTGCCAATAACTATGAAACACTTGCTCACTCTGCTATAAAGATTGGAGAAATGGTTGGACAGACCTACAAGGGTGCTCTAGTGAAGGGAGTTCATAAACAAATGAATCATTTTGATTGTGCTATTAATGTCGTTGATCTCAAATGTATTTATGCTTTTTTGTTTGAAACTAATCTGGTCATTAGTGAGGGTAGTCAGTTGGAGAAAGGTCAGGATCAGAAGGTTGTTATCAACTTTGTTGTTTAAATGTTTTGATCTATGTCATGTACTCGTATTTTTTTAGATGAATTTAACAAATAAATGTTCGCCTTCATTAATCAAATTTCACTTAAAATTTACCTTCACTTCGTTTCCAGATGGGCCACATAATTTGTCTCCCAGAAGACGGTGGTGGTCCGTCTGATTCGTCACTTCTTCTACAACTTCCGCCATATCATACACTTCCATATATGACGAGCAGCTTGATCCTCTGTGGATGATAAAATAAGATACGGCATTTCGCAACATGACAGTTTCTTCCTTCTTTATCTGTCTTTCCGTCCTACCTGAGCCTGTAGTTGAATATTGCGAGCTGCACAACATCTGCAACCTTTCCTCTAAATTCCAATTGACATTTGACAAATCCGGCAAGGGAGGGCTTGTTGGGCACAGTGTGAGAAGCGTGAAGTTCTGATGGTAAAGTTTGATGGACAAAGCTTTGTCTCAAGTCTTTTGGGATCAAAAGACGGAAAACAGTTCCTCGCGTGGAGCTTCCGTCGAAAGTGTGGCCACAAGTTATTTGATGAACACCGTTGGCATCTGAAAAGAACAAGGTTTATGCATAAGACTACCCACCAAACCCACATTTCAATGAAATACCAAGTACCATAAGGTGCTCTTGGGGAACCCATGACGGGGCCTGAATATTCTTCATCTTCGTCATCATCATCGTCGTCATCCTCTTCGTCGTCATCGTCGTCGCCATAATTATTACTACTTGGAGTTATTGGTAGGTGAACCGTCTTTCTTGAAACTGCGGGATGACCTTGATGCTGTGATAGTGGTCTCCGTGCTTTGCCTCCAGGCGATGCAACTCGACCAGTTTCAGATTTTGGGTTCTGAACGAGGGAATGAGATGGTTCCGTGGTTGGGACGAGGGCACCAGTGTGGATGAATTGAACGGTAGCTCGGAAGCCGGTGTAGAGATAAGGGGAAACTGTAGCGCCTGATCGAAATTCGATAACAGCGGAACCACCATCAATCTCCAAAGATATTTTGTCGGTCTCCTGACACAAAGTTTTCCATGGACTTCCCCAACTGGACACGTTTCTTTTCCAAATTGCCACATGATGGGTTGAACATAGGCTAAAGATGAAACAGGGCCAAGTCAGTCTGACTACGTAGTTTGAACCTTTGTGACTTTTATCAAGACTCATTATCTTTACGAAAAGAACTTTGTTGGCAAGCTAGGTTCTTATGACATGCACAGTGACCCACTGCAGCTTCAAAAAATTTATCTGTTCTTATTCACCAAATAATGTACAAAAAAATAGTTTTGAATCTTAGAAGCCGTAAACAACATTATACGACTATGTGCGTTATACATGTATGCATGTATTGTACAAAATGTATGCATGCATGGAACAAATGCTTAGCTTATACATAAAATATTGTAAAAGCTACTCACGGTTTAGGTGGGAAGCTTATGGCAGTAAAGTGGATTTGTATTTTATCCGTGGTAAAATTTGCATTGAGGAAAAATCGGCATTTACGATGTGGAGGAAATAGACCTGGATATCCTGGCGACGCTACGACACACTCGCTATTGAAGCAGTTGTCGTAAGTCCAATCGCAAGCTGTGTGTCAAGAGCAGAGTATATAAGTTTTAGCACAATACAAATTTAATAGACGTTGCATAGAATTTCGAGTATACAACCTTTTCCATTGTTGAAATGCTTGAACGTCATTTTTTTTATAACGGTATTTATCAATATTTTCAAAACAAGTAACTTTCTACGCCGTTCAATGAACGAAGGTGCACACTAGTTTATCAATTTATATGATAGCATCATTATGTGTGAGCCTACGAAGATTCGTTTAAAGGGAAATTACGAGTAAAAATCAAAGAATCGCGTTTCTCATCTCACGAATGAGATAATTAATTTGCATATATAAATCCCAAGTATAAATTGGCACATACCTGAATGAGGACGAAGTCGACCACCCTTTCTTGCAAACCCAAGCACCAAGTCATCAGCCGACGAGAAACTGACATATGCCAACAGCGAAGACCTCGTCGTCTTAGATTCAGTTCTATGGAGAGAAATGATGGGAGGACATACGTAAAATTTCGATATCCATGTCGATTTACCAACCATATGCTCAAAAAGCATATAATTCTAAAATTTTACGACTTCATCTTTACTGCAAGAGAATCCTTACTTAGAGAATGTGAGCTAATGGACGCACATCTACCTTTGTGAATTTGAATTTTTATACCCATCTTTGTTCTCATCTAAATTCTTCCTCTCCCTCTCTTACAAAATGGTCGATTAGCATAACGGTAACTGACAGGACAATTTAAATCTTAACAACTTATTTTCTCAGCTCCCTGGTAAATCTTGAGGTCTAAGTCTTTTCTCGGCCTGCATACTATCAATCTAAAGATGGAATTTAGTAATTCGAGAAAAATTATGCAAATTACTCCGTTTCGTTGAAAACTTGTTTTTCTCTCAGGTTGAAATTTTTGCCAAAGTTTTGAAACTATGGCCGTCCTTTTATGTGACATATATATTTATGTGTTTAAGAATGTAAAACTATACAATTAACTAACTTTCTCAAGCGGACATGCTGTCATAATACCTAACAAAAAAGTCTCAACTCTACAAATACAACTGGTAGGATTGGACATATTCACCTAAAACTGTTGTATAATTCTTGTTTAACTTTCGTTAATTTGATTGTTAAACTTAATTATTCTTCTCATACATAACGCCCGATACGTGTTTGTACGAAGGAAAGAAATATTATTACGTATTCTAGCAGGTTGTACTTTTGTTTCGATATTATGAGAGCTGGGATGGTCATTAGATTCTTGGCGTAATAATTAAACGGACACTCGTAACATTACTGCATAAAGTCTTTTTCGTGTTTGGTACACCCCGGAGAGCTTTATATTACGTTTCTGTTATTGCTCATTATGAGTCCGAATGAACGAAAGTACGCCTACATACATACGTACGTACATATGAGTATAAGGAGCTAGACCAGAGCCGGTACTTTCACTCGTTAAAAGATACAGATACTTTACTCTACTTTCGGATGGAAAGGAACCAACTTTTTTTCTTGCAGACAAAACTTGGGCACGAAGATATATGTGTATTTCTCTCCTTGCCACTACTACTTAACTGTTTTGGCTTAAATAGTACTGAACAATTTTTGTCAGTGTATCCATCCCCAGCAGCCTACTTAAGTATATCCCAACTTTGTCAATATAATGCTTACTTAGCTGCCCCCCATCTGAGTGAACTTTTACTCAAAGTTCACAAAGTTAACTGAGTCTGCTAAGATTTTTGGAGAAAGCTCATGAGCCGTGTCACCCCTAATGCCACTCTTGCGTCCTATTGTACACGATGCAGAAAATGATTTGGTCAGACTTTGAGACTTTGCTTAAAATTGAATTTAAACTCGGATTAAATAAATCATCATATAAAACCTGCATCACATACACACATATTTACTTCTAAATATAGCACAATGCGAATTTAAAGTGTGGACTCACCTCACTAATAAAGTGGCTGTGCCCTGATCCCCAAAGAAAACGACAGGAGGAGAGAATCTCGAATTTTGAGCACACATTTGTATTGCTTGTCTCGTAGGAGAATATATTTCCCCGTTTGAAAATTGTAACCAACCTCCAAGGCATCTGAAATACGTAAGTGAAAAAGGCACATATACAGATTAAATATATGTGGGCACAATAAATGCTGAAATCTGAAGGCATATTTGTACAAAAGTGGCAGGATGATAAGCATAACTTATGCTGTAATAACAACCCCAGCCTGAGCAAACATGATAACTCCGATTTGAATCAGATTTCAGATTTCATTCCAAGACCACCATAACGGCAGATTAAATGACAGATGCTAATACCATCTTCGTGCTTTCGCAAAGTAAACTACATACGTATTCATAACACACATGCATGAGAATAACTTTACTTACGTAAGCGTATTATTATTAAAGTGGCCGATGGAAACCATACGGTGAATCTGAACTTCTATAAATAAATATCATTAGTTGGATTTTTACCAAAGTTTTTATTCTCTTTATTTTACCTATCCTTTGTCCTGGAGCACTGTGCAGTCTCCACCAGCATGAAGTCAATCCCTCCAGTTCGGGAGATTTTATTTGCACCCAAGACAATCCCGAACGAGCCGCAACAGATCGTGAAGAAATAGAAACGTTACAAACTGCAACAGTTAAAAATATCATTTAAAATTAGAATATCGATCGTATAAAACTGTATACGTGTTAAACACATTCTCTTTAATAACAAACTAAAATAGGATAGTAAAAGAAAAAGACATTTGCTCCTTTTTCTAAATTCTAGCCTATAAGTAACTTTTGTCCCACGTGCATCATTCAATTTTAGAACTATATAAATATATGATTTAGGTATATGATATTACATCCGAAAAGGAAGAAAGTGGGGACTCAATTTTGTTACATGGGCCCTAGAACCTTATTCCCCTAAAATTGAAAGTTGTGAGATAGGCATAACGTGAAGGCGTTGCATTTGACACGGACATAGTCGACATCACACCCTGAGCGAGACTCACTTTTCCTGATTGAGTGTGAACCATGAACTATACGGCTTAACTTTAGCCAAGGCATATCTAGGGCTTTTTCGGCTTTCCTGTCTCTGCCAATATATAAATATATAAGCCCCCACTCTCTGATGCGCTGGAAGGAAGTAGCAATTCACGCTCAAGTTGAACCCACGCTGCTCTCCTGATTTAAGACCAGCAGAGCCACGTCGTCGCTACATTAAACGGGATATGATATGACACTGGAGGATTTCAAAAGTAAAACTTGATGGATATACATTTAGTTCTACGTATTGAGTAAGTGAGTGAGTGAATTGCACCGAGCGAGTCACTTGGAGAAAGTGAATGTGGTCACCCTTCTAACTCAGCAATGGTGAAATGTACTTACATATGAAATTTGATAGTTCTAGTTGCTACTTAGCTTGTTTTCAACTGCCAGGTTTAGCCATCAATGTCGCTACTACAAAATCTCTTTTCTAGATCGGCATTGGTGGATTGGATTAGTAAAAATTAGGATTTTTATTATCATAAAGTCTGCAGATGACGTCGCGAATGTAAAAGATTTAACTTCTAACATTTTTTCCAGTGCTGCAGTTTAGAACTTTAACACTAAATGCAAGTATAAAATTCGATATTTGTTGAAAGATCGTTGATTCTTGACATTCATGTAAACCTCTCTAATCTTCCTAGCTTTTATATACAGACACATGTAATTATCTAAAGTAAATTGCATAATTTTCAAGATACTTTCACCCTTAAAAATATCAATTATGCATGTTCTGGATCATTGGAGAATCATGGGAACTTTCACCTATTATTGAATTATGTAATGATTGACTAAACATGAAGGTCAGCCGGTTGACCCACATGATGCGTATGTACACATACACATGGAAGGGCATTGCATTGAGTTGAGAGCTTATTGGTACACAGTAAGTAGGAGTCAATCGCAATTTATTGCGTGTGCAGATACACATCTGACAAAACACTGGAAGAAAGTGCAATGTTTTCACTCGAATATTAACATTTACATTTATGATTACGGAAAATACATGCAAAAGAAATTATGTACCAACTAGCCTGTGCTTATTTTGACGCAATAACGTCCTACAAAAAATGATAAACAATACATATACAAAGTAACATTCAACGTATGCTATACGATTGATACACATACATCATCCTAGTATTTGTCCAGACATTCGTATTGCAAAATTGCACAAACGCTGCCTGTGTGTACTTGTTTCTCAAGTCAATGAAAGCAATCATTCTTATTGTTTCTCCTGGCTTTCTTCTGTCATGACATGCAAGTATTTCGCAAGACCCGTTTGAGCCAAAAGTATATAAACGTGCCATTATTCTCGTTCTTTTTTCACTGACTTGAAGTGAGAGCATCAATTCTACACTTTACATACATATATACACAAAAGAGTGCACACAATATTACCAAAACACAGATTTAAACAACGTCAAAATATTTCTGTGTTCTGAAAGGATAAACTCAGAAGATAAAATGCCAACATACAAGCTAACTTACTTTGACATTAGAGGTACTGATTCTCGTATTACTATTATTTAGTGTTATTTTTCACAGTAGAAATGTCTCAGTTTATTATAAAAATTGTTTTAATAGGTCTCGCTGAGCCAATAAGGTAAAAGTCGCTTTTACAAAAATAGCGGAAATGTCGTAATTAATAAAATATTTTGGCAGATGGATGTTTCAAATTTCTGGACAAACTTTTGAAGATGAGAGAATTCCTCTAGATGAATGGAGTGAACAGAAAAAAAGTAAGTATGTGTAATATTCTGTGAGCTTCTGAAAACTAAAAAATCTATTTATTTTTTCACGATAGGATTTTCCAAGCATGTCGGACAACTTCCTATCTTGTGCATAGACGACATAGTTTTAACTCAAGTGCACGCATGCATGCGTTACATTGCCAGAAGATTTGGATATAATGGAACCTCTGAAATTGAGGCTGCTCGTGCTGATGAAGCGACCGAATTAATTTATGACTTGAGACTCTGTAAGTTAATATTTGTAAGATGTATAAATTACAATTGCCAGGTTAAGAAGTACACAAATTGTGAACTTGTCGTGGGACAGGTTGTGTTGCATACAAGGACTCTTTTCAGTCAAATACTCCGGATGTTGTCCGCCATACGGGTACGCATAGAAAATTAATGATTATGCATTTAAAGAATAATTTATTGTATTCAATGAGTAAAACCTGAGTAATTTGAATTTCTCCCCCTAAAAAATAGTTTTCCGAGACTTTGCCAATGAGGTGAGATAAAAATCTAGTAATAGTTATATATTCACTTTATCTCGAAACAAGTTTACCATATGTTACAATTACAGCGAAAAACGTATGTAACAAATGGTGATAAGCCTTGCTTGAAAATTTCGCATACTAATTTGCAGAAAAGTATCGCGAAGAAGGCACTGATGAGGAAAGACTTGCTTGAAATCCACTTTCCAAAGTACTTTACAAAGTTCGCAGAGCTTTTGGAGTGTGCTGGAGGAGAATGGATTGCAGGGAGCACTCTGACTTATGCAGGTATTTACAGTCCTATCGCTCTCAGAACTGTCCTTGGTTATTTTTTATAATTCTGGTTATTGTGCTTCATAGACCTTGCCCTAGCCAATTTTTTTTCCGTCGCGGAGGAGATGGTCAACCCCGATTGTCTCAGAGACTTTCCGACATTGAAGAAATTGAAGGACGACGTGTTTGACATACCTCAAATTCAAGAATGGATGGTCATTACGAAAGGCATAGCAGTGAAAGCATACGGAAGTGGTGGATAAACGACGTGAAGTTGGTCATTCAACTTCAACTGTTTTTGTAGAATGCATGTCTATCGTGAAAGATAGGATTCGGTTACGTAGTAAAACATTTAGTTACTCTCAACGTGAGAAAGCGTTAGTTCTGGTTCTGCCACAATATTGTTGCAATCTTTTTAAGCGTACGTAATTCAATCAAACGTCTTCCATTCCATGATAAAGAAATATGTACATAAGTCGGTCGTAGTGTTGTCTGCTATGAAATACGAGTTGACTCTGTACCTTATCTGATTCAATAAATGTCTATTTACCAAATTTTTAGTCTCATTCACCGAAGGCGTAGTACTTGATTTATTGTGAAATGCACTTATACTTAAATACTTAAAATAACTATATATGTACACAGTAATTAGTTTTAGCTGGACGTGGTTCAGGTCATAATGTAAACATGCGAATGACACAAGGTGTTTCCAGACAAAAAATGGGAAAAGTTTACGCCCCACCACCACAAGTGATGAATTGTAAAAAGTTACAAAGCAATTAGCGTAGAATACATATATATGTACATACATAGGTGCATATGTGGAGTAGCTCTAATATAATATGGTGTGCTAAATAACGTACAAATTGGGAAAAAAACTTTCCACGCAAATGTGTCACTTTCATACCAAAGTATAATTGCATGCATCCGAAAGTGTGATTAATAGTATTTATGCAGGTTTGTTTTGTTGGGCATTGTCACATCGAGCTCCTCAGCTCATTAACTCTTTAAACATAATATGAAAATTAATGGACTTACAGCGTTGACAGGCGTCTTCTAAACCACACTGAGCACATTTGTTTGAGTTGAAAGAACAAAGACAGCCACCGGGTTGAACACAACAGGCACAATCGTTTGACCTCCCGTCCGGGCATGCACACCCTGTCGAGCTCGTGGTCCAGAGATCAAGGCGATCTGAAAAAGGAAGTTCCATTTGGTTCATTATGCAAAACTACTCTATAACACCGACCGATGAACACTTTGGAAGAATGAGACATGACATTATTTTAACGTTGAAGAAGGCTACCCAACTGTCAACCTTCCTCCCGTCTTTTTTCTCCCTCTCTTTCAAGATCTGTGAGTCAACACAGTTAAAATAACAAACTTTTTCATTCAACGCCAATTTCTTTTTTACGACCAGACACAAATATCGTAAAGGGTGAAAATGTGCACACATTTCAAACAAAGTCTCACTTTCTTTTTCTTAGTTTCCTCCGTCTTATGAAAGGAGAAAGGTACGTGCATAGTGTTCACATGTACAAGAGATCGAGGACTAGGAGGCCACTGGGAACTTGATTCCCCAAAGTGATATCAAAGTGATATCTGGGAGTACAGGTGGTGGTGGTGTACTGTTTGTTATCCAAGTGTAAAATTTTGCGATGCTGCTAGTTCACCATCGTTCGTCACTTATAAAATTCTGTCAATAGAATCAAATTGGAAGACAGGTCCAAATACTTATATAAATAAAGTATGCCATAATAAATTGTAGAGAATAGAGTTGTTTGTGTAGAAAATGCATCATTTCAACCGTAAGGAATTTAATAATTTTTGTGAATGTGACCGGAAACCAATCAAAGTGTTTTTCTTCAAAAGTATGTCAGATACCTGTTCGGCTAAAGTTAACCTTGTGTTCCAATAGCACGACTGTCACTTTGTATGACGTCACAGGATACATATATCTATACATAGAATTGGCAGTGATGACGTCAGCTTTCGTCCGCAACTTAACCCACTTTCACTTTTAGAATGTATATGACGGGCTATAGCACTATCCAGTTTCACAGGTCTTTGAAACTCTTTAAACTGGGCCACAATTCAGGCCATGTATTTGCAAAGAAAAGTTTGATACCTTTATACTCTTGCCATATTTCAATGGTAAAAGGTTATGTGTATAAATAGACATCGTGTGTACAAAAAAAGAATTTACATTTTGAATATGCAAAACATTTTTATCAAAGGAATCTATGCAACACTGTTTATTGTCATCATTTTCATTGAAGATCAGATCAATAAATGATGTCACAGATTTCCTTTATCCTGCAATTCCGAGTTTAGATTTCTGCATTGCCGTAAATTCATAACTGGGTCGACTGAGCATGATAAATTCCATTAACGGTTCTCTACTTTTCCTGGTTATGTACTTCATATGGTGATACGTACAAGTTCTAGTTACTGTCAACTGTGCCGGACCATTCATGAAAATGCATTTTCCACACCAAATAATTAATCCTCATAATTTGAAAGATTATGGAAACTTTCCACTCCAATTTGACATAGAGTTCAATTTAAGCAATACATACACACAGTTTGTTGTGTCCTTTCATACATATGTAGAAGGAATTTAGTATTTTACACAGGTATGCTTCGGAAAAGGGGAATGATTTTTAAACCTCTGTAAAGTTTGACCGTGCATGAAAGAATTTGAGTTATAAATTACTTGGGCTTGTGAACAATAGCGTTTAACCAATAGCGGACATTAAACGTCTATTTCCTTAAGCATGTCACGAAAGTTGGAGAAAGTTACAAAAGATAATTGAGATAGACGAGCAACTGTCAAAGAGCAGACAGGCACGCCGGTGATCTTCCCCAACTGCTGCACCTTTCACCACTGTTGGGAATTAGTGCGGGTTATATGGAACAACCAAGTAAAATGTCGACTTTTGGACCAAAAACAAACGAGAGGAACAATCTAAGGCGTCAGATGTAATTAATCTATCCCGGTAGACGATATATCAATCTTGCTTAGCCTAGAAAAATTCCCAATCCAGTTACAACTTTGGCAAACTTTAGTTATCACGTTGATAATAGCTCAATTCTACAGCATCTGTCAAGTCATCCTTTGCCAAATAAAAACGATTTTATCAAACAGTTGAATTCCTCCCAGGGAAAATATTGCAAGGAAAAGTAAATGGCATTTCATTATTGTCTTGTCTTCCCTCGTTCCAAGAATAATAAGCTAAGAAGGCTGTAGAGTGGCTTCTGCTGTCTCTTCGTCACTTGCCTGACTTTCGGTTTGGGCTTTGGAGGAATGAAATGAAAAGTGGGATTTATGGCCTGCACATTAGTCTTTGTCATGTTTATAATGTCAGACGACATTTCTTTATTGATATTATTTTGCTTAAACAAGTATTGCAAAATTGATTCTGGAATAAAGAGACACCAGATTGTCTCAGTTATTTGCATTTTCTCACGTCTTCAGACTGTTCAGACCTCTACCACACACATTTTTTTCAAGAAATTTTATAACTAAATTACTTATTTTATTTTAGTACTGTAACTTATTGCTTTCTTCAACTAACTATGACAAGTTTTTGCATAAAGATGGAACAATGCACTTACTTGCGGTATCCACATATATTGGCGTCCAGGAAACTTGATCTTGTGACCAACCCCCGGCTGGATGAGTGATGATGGTCATCGTCAACATCAAGATTGCCGTTGTCAATACGCATCGTAACATCATCGTCGTCGGTGTGATTTTTATTTGTTTCCTTTTCTTTTATGACTCATTGGTTGCTTGCGTAAAGGTGTCAACTAATTTGTGCCTGGAAGAAGAGAAGAAAGTCATTTATTTTTCGGTGTAGTAAAGTTTTGTGTTCTTTTGAGATGACAAGTCAAGGATTACTTTTATAGTCAGACATTTCGTTAAAAAGTGCAAGTCCCCCATTTTCATGCACATATACCTTTCACAAGGCCATTCTTAATATAATGTAAAATTACAACCAACTTATAAAAAATTCTGCTAACGATGTCGCTCAATAGCCTTTTGTTTGACATCGAGTGACTAAAAAAATCAATATTCTCCTGATTTCCTCCTTTCATCATTAACCATCCCAAAAACGTCCCTCTATTGAAGGACCTCTTAGATAATCACTAGTTTTTACTCCAAATATAGGTACAGCAGATTACGGATGTACGGCATCCTTTCCTGTGTGTGGTGTCCCATCATGGTCCTTCTCTCTCCTGTACGCAAGTAAAATGAGCTCGAAATTTTTCTCTTTCACTCAACGAGGAAGTAGATCAAGCCCGGCGAATGTAGTATCGAGCAAGTTGTTGGTTGGGCGAAGGAGAGAGCAGGAGAGAGACCAAAATTTTTTCATTAAAAGTTCCATTATGCCGTATTCCTTATTTCAGTCTGGATGGAGATTACTGCTTTTCTTATTCTTCCCCTATAAATCTCATCTCTTTGTGCTTTTATAAAATATTTTATCTCCAGACCAGTTTAAGGAGAGCAGGGCAATCTTCCAAGTTCGGTAGATTTTCAGTAATACAATAAAACGGATCGTATAGTGTTGTCCTTCGTAACTGGATGTTAAGAGAGGATTATGGAGCTGGCTCACATCGAGTCACATTAGATGTTCGCATGGCGCAGAGAAAATAGCCTTGTGTCTTTAGCATTATTTTCTAAAATGAAGTTTACACGATGCGACCATTCAATCGCACCACGCTCATTGTCATCGTCTCGTGTGATGCTTAAGACAACGGAACAATTAGTCAGAAATACACACTGAAAGCATTCCTCCTTGCAACGTGCTGTGAAAGAAACCCAATTTGCGCTTATAACGCAAAAAGCTGGAGGCAAAATCGTAATTTACTTAGGTCACTGCAGTGACGGAAGAAATGTAAAATACTAATTTACATATAAATGAAATGCCGATCAGGGTGTAAAATTGTGAAATAAAATTCAACAAACTACCAAGATTTTTCCCGGTGAGGTAACTAAACTACATGCACTTTCTCTCCCCACTGACAACAGGAGAAAGCCCTCGAGGCAGTCACGAGCGGGCGATGATGGAAGGATGGCACTGCTTCAAAAAGTTTGTCTGTTCGACCAGGAAAGGGGCCAAAGAATCCTAAAGGCAATTCCACGAGAAAGTCTGGAATATAATTCTGGCAATAACCATGTCTAAAGTGGCTACATATACATATGTGAAGAGATTGTATGCAGTCATATGTGCTGCGGTTCAGTGGAAAAAGTAAAATAGTCGAGAGAAAGTCGAATTGAAAAAAAATTGTGATAAATCCATTCAATATCCTCAAACAGGCCGGTTTTGTAAGCATGAGGATACTTATGTTCAAAATGGATGTGTATTCACAAGTGGAGGATTCTGGATTTCGAATTGGATTTAGCAGCATGGCTTTGGTGTGGCTTTTACATACAGGCGTCCTCCTATTCTCGTGCAATTCAAGGGTTGCATATGGGTTAGGAACAGCCGACCGCTTTATGGATCTCGGTGATATTGAAAAGGAATGCGAGGCTGAAGGAGGTCTACATTTTTCTAGGTGCACAATGTCCATTTCATAAAGAAAGTCCTTTCACCAATCAGATTTCAAGTGTTGCTCGCACAAACATTTTGTACTTACTATTCACCAATTGTGACAATTGGTGGACAAGTTTATTTCTTGTAATCTGTTTAACTCGAACGACTTGAAAGTACTACAAAATATTGTAGACAAGCCTTGCACAGAGACCGAGGTAGAAACAGATTCAAAGAAAAATGGGATAATATGCAATATAACGAAGATAAATGTCCTGCCAGCTGGAACATGACAGAAGTTTGCACTTACTGTGCTACTCAATCTAAATCATTGGAATTATATAGTTGAAGGACTATGCATACGTATGACGGGTGTGGATTTACTTGCGTATTCTGAGGATGCGATTGTTTTGTGAACAGCTAAACAGTTGTTACGTGCATATAAATATGTAGAGCGTGCATAGGTACATGCATACTTTTTTGTTAATGATGTAGAGGTCATGAATGTGTAAAGTTTTATGATACAGTCCTTATTATTCTAGTATTCGCACAAATAGTAATAAATAATAATCTACAGCAATTTGCAGTACACCGTTACATATATGATACGTTACATAAAGTAATAAGCATTCATTATTATGAAATAGATACGTAGTACTCAACTTTGTTTTCAAAGTAAACCACTTAAATATTAATAAACTTTAATATATATGTGCAAGTCGAATTAATTTGGTCTTCCAGATACGAATACAGAAGCGAAATTCATTGCAAAGGAGTAGAAACACGGCTGTACGACGGGGATTGTTTTCTTTATCCCTCTCTGGATCGGCTACCACCTGAATATCTTTTGTGAGTAAGGAGAAAATAATAAACCCACGTAGAAGAGGAGTGCATAATAGTGCCCAAGTGTTCTCATGACCCGAATCGATTGTTTGTTGTTCTGAATCATTCAAGTCCATATTGGAAAGAAACTTGGTGCTGTGAGCTTTCTCACGACGACTGCTGCCTGACTGACTGGCTCGCCCGTGCTCTTGAGTGATGATGAGAGGAGACTGCTTTCACCAAATTCAACTTTCTCCCTCTCGTTCGTATGTTTGGGAGGAGGAGTTGGTTCCACGATGACCAGTTCTTGCTGCCTAAATGACCTTATAGCACGCTGAACCAATTGTTCAGCAAATGTATGGCAAACTGTTTTTGTTGTGTCTGCTCAGATCTCAAGCAGCGATATTGAAGTGGCTCTCATTTCCTCGCAAGACATATAAATAAATGACAGACGCAAAAATATATAAATAGATTTGAGATATAATTCCTTCTTTGCTTCACAAGTTTTATTATTTATGAGACAGAATGGAGAGCAAAATTTTCACCACACTCTCCTCCTCAGACGTCCACTTGTCACCGCACCGCAGTTGATGGGGTTTCTGATTTGATTGAAAGCCTGTGAGACGAAGCTCCTATTCCAGTGTGGCCACCATTATTCCTACAATTTGTACTACCCTTCCATCCAACTCAATTTATGGATATGTCAAACTCTCGACCTCGTCTTATCATCCTGGAGCTTGTTTCATTTGTCATCAAATATTTATAGCATGCACGTACTGAAACCCTAGGAGTGCAGGAAATACGAATCCGAAAAGCACATTTACGAGGAGAATATCTTCCACTCTGGGGAAACAGAAGTGACAGGCTGCAACCTGGCAGTCTCTTCTTGATATTGTTTTATTTTATTTTATACACGGAAAGGTCTGAGCGAGAAGACAGACTCGCACGACAGAATATCATAACTTCAAACTGGTGGTGGTGTCCTTCTCACCAGCTCAAAAAGTTTCATTAAATTGCAACCAAGCAAGCTTGTTGATTATAGTAGTTAAATTTTCTACGAGCCACAAAAAGGAGAAAATACAGAGAAAATGTGTTTATTCCACTTACGCAAGTTCAGTGAATTGTAGGAAAAAAGAGTGAAACAATAATTTGTATGTGGGAGGCTCTTTGTGCACACGAATACGGTTCACCAATAGCGTTGTAATAATGCAATCGATATATTTCAGACAAATCAAATTATTTTCGGGTATTTAGTATAGAAATTGACTACATAGTTTTTTGTAGTTATATTCCAATAGATTTGTAAATATAGAAAGGTGATCTAAGATCATCCGGCTGAAAAGAACAAAACGGAGGTTTTCAGGTCGAAATAGAATAGCGTATTTTACGATCAAGCAGAAAAGCCTTTGAGGATCCATCAACGTCAGAAAACGAAGCACTAAGACAGAGCACTTTGGTAGACGGATGGAGCAAGAAAAATTATTTGGATGCATCCAAAAAGTTATTTCAGATTGTGGGATACCTCAGATTGACTTCATTCCGTCTCAAATCGATCATGGTACAATAGGAAAAACTCTCTCTCCCCGAAAGCCCGAGACAGAGTTTAAGGGTACTTCCAACAACAGATTAATAGCTTTGTCACTAATAATCTTCATTATATGCAGCAGTTTTAAATATAAAAAAAATCTTAATTTACGCTTTTACAAACAAACACCAGTGGTGCAGATCACTGAGAATGATAAACTCGGGAATCTGACAGACATTCATGACGACCTCATAATCCATAAGTCGGGTTAAGAATGATATGTTCAGCTTTGTCATTTCTTCATATGTGCTTTTGATACAATGGTTTTGTTGAAAACCGGAAATAGACTTGTCGACATTGCATGGACGAAGATGGAACACGTCCATTTCGCCCAACATTTTGCTGTACATTTTTTTTTACTTTCTCCGAATTTATAAACCCAACTACAGCGCACCAACCAACCGCTCACCCTTTCTATTTGCTACAAAATAATCCAATAAATTCTGGGTTCTCTGGATTTCGAGATTATAAAAACCCATGCAGAGTCGGCCTTTTTATAATTAAGAAAATCTCCGGTAGAACCTAATCTCCATGCATATTTAGACCTGTGTACAACGTGTGAGGAAATTTAGGCTCGTGAAACGAGTTCTCAACTGTGATAGTTGTTTCCAACTTAATTTCCTCCCAGTGAGCCAAGCGCTCGGATTGAGACGTATTATGTAGCAGCAAATGTAGTTGGAAGAAAGCTGTACATTTCAGGGTTCAAGAGGCATTTGGCATCACAAGTAGCACATAATGAGTGGATTGGATCATCGGGTAAAGGAGGAACAGCACCTATCCAACTCTGTAAGCTGTAAGCAAAGTCTGAATGGTGTCCCACTTCCTCTCCAACCGACTCAACTATGCGTGTATCTTCTTCTTCTTTCTCCAGAGGAAAGTT